AGGCAAATGGCATCTCATTCCTCTTGCCGGTGGTGGTGGAGCCCAGCTCAGCGTTTACAATCTACAGGAACTGATCTACTTTTCTTGGAAGTGTGGTTTCCTCCTTTTTAGGAGGAAAACTATGAAACAAAAGTGGTTTTGTTCTTTGAAAATACATGCTTTACCTGGAACGATTATCTATCAGTTCATACCCTTAGAGCCAATAATGGGAGGGATTAGACTTAATATTTTCTTTCTTTTCTTCCATCTGACTCACAAGCTCCTGGCTCCTTCTTACTCCGTGGAAGTAGTTTTACAAAGCAGTTTGTAAGTCCTCTTCCCACTAGGAATCTGAGAAAAATAGGAAATTGCACTGTACAGTATCTTTGATCCTTGCTGTGGAGTTTATACTGGGACTTTGGGACTAATCTTGTGTCCAAAGCCTTAAACTCCTGTTAGCAGCTGTGGAACAGAATTGGGTTTGCAGTCCTTGCAAGTGGTTTGAGTATATAGAGAAAGGTAGGCATACTGCTTTTAATATCTCTTTATATGGGACAGCATTTGTGTCTGGTAACGTTCTAAAAAGAGAACTGATCTGGTAAATCCTATATTTCATGAAATATAACATGAATGTAACTTTGAAATAAAATGAAACTTTAAAAGAAAAAATATACAGAAAGAAAAAGATATACTAAATATACACAGAGAAATAGAAAATCCCACTTTGATTGTGAAAATGATTATGTATTATGATGGTTATTTGCACACACAGAAATAAATGCCAAGGCTTAGGTTCTGTTTAGCTGTTTAGGGCAACAGAACTAAACTATGAATAATCATCCAGCATATCGAACTAGTGGGTTCTCCTAACATCTATCATTGGACCATACCTAAGATATTTGGAAGCAGAACATAATGAATGTCATCTGGCAGCAGCCTGATCATTACCAGAGTTAAAATAGCCCTGGACATGTAGTTCATGATGTGTGATACACAAGAGGTACGTATCCATTTACTGTGGGTGTTGTAGTGATGAGGTTGTTTGAACTAACAGCCTTGCATCACATACTTCAGCACTCGGCTCTTGCATCACAGATAAAAGAATCTACATTAAAAGATACTTAACTTAATAGATATTAACAACAGTAATATTATGAGATATGCAGGATTTAGATACTCTTTTTGTTAGCTATTGTCAGAATATCACAGCAGGCATAATAAAAGAGTACTATTTGAGTGAGGTCACTTACCCCTTTTCTTCTTTGGTGTAATCGTACAATAGGTTGACATATGTGTTATATTTAGAATTTGAAAACCATGCATTTGCATTTGTACATGATGCCATAATAATTTTAAAAGTTTCTGCTATAGATAAAAGCATGTTTTGTCTGAATTTTGTAGAATTAAAAGAGATACCTTTCTCTCTACTGAGTTGCCTTAGTGGTAGCTACTGTAAGTTGGTGAAGTCTCTGCCTTAGAGGACTGCAGCAGGAGGCCTGCAGAAATAAAGGAATATGGTTTATTGGAATGGGAATGAAGACAACAATCTTGTAGCCTGGAAAAGCCACCTTATATATGGGTTTATTTTTGTTATTATCTGAGACTCAGGTTTTTAATCACATCTGATTCTTTCGTTACGTGCTTTCTTTCCCCATTCCCCATAATTTCAATGATATTTTATCAGTCCCACATCTGATGTAATTTCACATATCTAGCTTGTTTGCCTTCTTGCATCTCTTTCAAGTATAATCTAATATTCCAATAATAATTTTTAAAGTATATTTATTTGATGTTATATCCAGCCTTTATAAATTTTCTCATCTTATCTATTTTGCACATTTTTATGAAAAACTTGTTAGAATTTATTTTGTAGGAGTGACGTGCTCCAGGCACAAAATAAGACTCCATTTTTGAACAAACTGTACCTACGTTAACAAAATCATCACTCTTTAATTTCCAGTTATTTCCATGTCATATAGTGTGCGCAGAAAAAAAGACAAGTGATGGCTTGAATTCTTGTGCACAGGACAGAATGTCCCACTGATTCATTTTAACTTGCATTAAGTAGCACATCACTAAAAAAATATCTCTGCAACTGAAATGTTTCTAGCACTTTGGCATTGCTGACTGTTTAATCCTCATTCTTGCAGAACTGCTGTACTTGTGCAACACTGAGGGAAGGGCAAACCAGCAAAACTCAATTTGCAAGTAAATCGAATAGTTAACTTGAATTTAGAGAGGGAGCTGAGCTGTTTAGCAAGTAGGAACTATTTTGCAAATAGCAACTTTGCTATATGGTGCGAAGAACACTAATCATAAAAACATTCAGTTTCTTCTTTGTTTCTTTGTGCTATTGTTGCTCATAACATCTGTGATGATGAAAAAGGACTTGTCTTTGGCAGATGATGTATAAATAAAGAACCAAAATGCTATTCTTTCTTCAGAAAACTTTCAATCTCCTTTCAGGTTTTCAGCTTTCTATCCTTTATTTCTATCCAAGTCTTTGCCATAATTTGGGATATTCTGATGTGTTAATGCATTTCAGGAAAGAAAGTTAAAAATATTTTTCCAGCTTGCTATCTAGTTTCATGCATCAGGCCCATGCACTGAATGACAGCAGGGCTGTGCAGACTAATGAATCTAGAGGCAAAGGCGAGGAAGATAAAGATAGTATTTTCCCTTTGCAGAACAATTTTTGATTGACTTCCTCAACTAATTAAGAAACAGTTCCCCCCAAACTCCATGAGTTACTCCCTCAGAGAAATGATTTGTATATAAAGGCAAAATAAAAAAATGCCAGAAAGTTTTAAGATCCTTTCTTGTTAGCAAGATTTGATCTTCATGTATTTCAACGCTGCAGTCTGCCCCTTCCTACTCCATTAAGTAAGCTAGCAGCTCTCACCTTCACAATCTGCTTTACATCCACAGACATAACCAAAGTCAGGGAAGTTATGTTTAAGTATGCTGTATTAGTAAACCTCTGATATGTTACTGGTGACAGGGAAAAAAAAAACAACACACCATTTTTCAAGTCTATTATAAATAACAAAAAAAAAAAAGTATCATAATTCTATTGTAAGGGAAAAATATTTTTAGCTAAATATACAGAATTGTGCTTGTAGTGGACTCTAAAGTCCTCTGCCTGTGCAGATACTTCTGCATATTCTTCAGTAAAAGCAGTGACTTCTGTGGTGGCACACAGTAACTAGAGAAACAAATACCATACCATCCACTATGGTTAAACTAATAAAATGCTCTTTTTCTTGAAATGCTGTGTGATGTTTTTTCTCTTTCAGAAATGTAATTTTTGCCCTGATTCTGATTTCCTTCCCCTCTCTTAACTTTGACTTTAAACAGTTGCTTGAATTCAATGTCTCCTATTAAAATATGCAGCTAACATAAAAGCTCAAGTAAATACTGAAATTATAGGTTCCATGTTTACAATGGGATCAGGCGGAAACCTCTTGTCTATTGTGTGTTATTCCATTGCTGACAGATGTTCTGTATTGTGGGTTTCAAAACTGTATTTACAAAAAGAAACAACCTTACCTCTCCCCAGCTGATCCGAGTAAGCTCTTTCAATGAATATTCTATTGGCTGAAACAGAAGCAGTCTAATCTTTTCTAATATTTTTTTCTGGTATATTGCAAGGCGCATCAAAACCAAAGAAAGCGTTACCACTTTACCTGAAGTGGAACCTAGTTGCTAACTGACAGGTTTTTGTGATGGTCCCATATAAGGAGCTTTATGTCTTAAAACACTCATCTTAAGAAAATGTGCAGGAATTAGTATAGCTCGAAATTCTGCATGCATAATAAATAAGTGATCTATTTTGTTTGCTATTGAGAAATTTTGGGAAGTCATGCAGTGTCTGTATAGGGGGAAGACATATGTAATGCATATGTAAAATTTTATGTGTATCTGAAAAGCCACCACCTTGTAAGAAAGCAAAGGAAACTGAGAGTTATCACAGGTCACAAGTCTGTGCGTTTAGAAGAGAGTTTAGAAGAAAGTTACTGTCTGGTGTCAGTAGGAAATGTACTTTGGTTGCTCTGGAATTGAGCAATGTTATTGCTCAGCTCCAACGGGTATATAATGTTTTCCACTTCAAAGCCCAAAAGACACATTTATTTGTCAGAGGGTGAATCATGATGACAAACTCTTCTCACCCAGATTGAAGAAATAAAAGAGATTTCTTTGGCAGAGTGGTAGATACCTTTGACAGACCAGACTGACCTCACGGCCCACCTTAATGTTGCAGTCCAAGAGCAGCCTTGATACCGTCTGGAGATGGAAGTGCCAGAGTATCCTCCAGATCAGCTTTGAATGACATAGATAGTATAGCTGGGGAGAGTCCTGGCCTGCAAGAACATTTTGGAACTTACTCTTAAGTATGAATGGACGCTGGTACTCTGTGCATGACCGCTTTGATGTACCGCAGCTGCTGTTGTATAACCATGGTACAAACAATGTGAAACATCTGAGATAGCAAAAAGCTTTTCTAGAAAAAGACTCTCATGTCACAGGTGGGATCTGTAGGCAGCATGAAGTCAATTTAACCTTAATGCTGGTTGGAGCCGAGTCTGAAGTACCCCAGGACTCAGTCTGCCTACAGCACCTACCATTTTAGGCAAATATAGACATGGCCTTAATAGACATCTGTTAATGCTGTTACTCCAACTTGATATCAAATCCCTCTGAATATCGAATTTTCTTACTTTTTCCTGTTTAATTCAGAACTGATTTAATAATGCTAACCTTCATCATGCCTGCTACAGTGTTTGCAATGCCTCCAAAGCCAAGTTAGTTAGCCTTTGCTAAGGTACATGAAGGTTTGGTAACTTGTCCATGTTTTGAATACCTTCAGGTCTGAGCAGCTTTTTGTCTGCTCTGGATTTTAAACCAACTTGTTAAGCTTTTGTGCTGGTGAAGTGATTTCTCTGTCATTCTTCCTATATTTCTTGAAGTTTTTTTCCATTTCTTGAGAAGATTTTTAATTCTAAATTTTCTGTTTTCTTTAGGGAACAGCAATATTGCAGTCTGGAGTCTCACCAGCTACACCAGGTAGGAGCCATTTAGTTACTTGCTTTGTTAAAGAATAATGTTTTAGACTCAAATTGTGACGAGAGAAACAGAAGATTTATGGAAGCAGAACTAAAGACTATATTGAGAGGCATCCTGGTTGTGGTTGGTTTTGCTCCCACAATTCATGACTGACAAGTTTAAAATACATTATAATCTGAAGTAATTTTTGTTTCAAAGATTAATGTATTCCTTTTTCCCTTCCTTTTGTAATCTAAAGAGGCTCAAAGTTGTTTAGTGCTTTTGCTACTTACAGTCTAAAAATGTCAAGAAAGTGTTCTTTTTAGGCTATATTAGCACCAAGAGGGAACTTGACTTAAATGTTCAGTGTGTATACCCAGTTTTCTAAATAACACAAACCCACAGGAGTAGATCCTTACCAGGGGCAACATGGAGATGCCTCTCTCATGTCGGTAGAACTGCTGTTTAACTAGCAAAGTCAGTAAAGGGAGGAAGCTGAGTATCTGGCCTGGAAGGGTTCTTTAGGAAAAGGTAACACGCTGAATACCTTTGCATTGTAACTTGCCTATCAGTAGAATGTGTTGGTCATCTGGAGTCCTCTGTCTAATGTCGCCGAACTGGTCTGGCACCTTTTGTATCATAATTTTACTTTAAAGATAATATTTCATAACAATTTATTTTTGCTTACTGTCTCTGTCTTAGACCTTGGAGAGATCTGAACAAAGAAGTTGTTTAGTATCTTAAATGTTTTTATATTCCTTAGACTGCTTTTTGATAATTCATCAGATCCGTTAAACTTCTCAAGTTGCCTGTTTCAGGTAGACAAGAAAGAGCCCTTTGTGCTTGGGTTTCTTTATTACTTTTAAAAACCTGTGCAAATATGTGCAGAAGTAAAGCTGATTGATACTTGTGTGAGCAAATCCAGTGAGATACCTAGGATCAGGAGGTGTCTCTGAGGAAGGTTATAAGTCACTGTATTACTTTGTCTGTCTCAGAAGCATTTAGCAGATCTTGTTCCTAGTTATTCCATTTGAGTCAGTGGGATTACTTTTGATTTATAGAGGTGTAAGTAGAAGCACAAATTGGAACATTAACTCTAATTTTATCCTTCCTTCTCTTACCCAGATTTCTATTCCTCTAATCAACCCAAGGCAACCAGAGCACTTATGATTAAAGTGTGTGTAAATACACGGGGTCTTGGGTCTATAGTTGCAAGTGGTGGGCACAATATTGTTTCTACATTAAATTCAGCGGCAAATTAGTTGTGGATTCAAACAATATCTGACAAAACCTTAATCTCAGGCTATTCATGCAGCTAAAAAAAACTGTTTTGATAAAACCTATCAGTAAGCAAATTGAAAATGTAGAAATTCAGGAGAGATTTTAAGATCAATGGAAAAGGAAGATACAAGACTGAAGAAATTCAAGTGGGTGGGTTTTCATGTCTGGTACACTGGGGAAATATTGTTTAAGAATTGAATACTTCCCTTAGGCAAATGCACATCCAAAGCCAGTGACTAAGTCAGAGCTATCTTTGTGGGGTTTTCATCCCCCAAATGTTCTCATGTACCTGTAAAACTTTATTCTTCAATACTACACTATTTTCTCAGAACAGAAACCCATGTTTTCTCTGCCTCCTTGTACTTTTATGATCCTCAGATATTTCATTTTAAAGTGTTGTCTTTTGTATATGTGACCATTTCAAGTATAATTAAACTTGGCATTGCAAAGCTTTCAAAATAATACTGTATGCTTTGAATGTTTTGCTTCCACCATCTTTAATCCAAGCCGCTAACTGAAGTTCACTGACAGCAGCTCTGTTGGACTAAAGGAACAGCATTAAAACTTCCTTATGTTTCTCTATCATGATCTTTTAATCCGTTGTTGAGGAAACATAAGTGCATGCTAATTTGAAGTAACTGCATTTGAAACCTGTCTTGAGCACGTACATGGCAAGATACCACTAGTCATGAATAATTGTACAATGACCCAATACACAGTTATAATATTTTCTAGTGTAGCAGTCCACTTAGTGATAAACATTTTTCTTTTTTGTCACAGAAAATGCTGTACTGTATTTTAATTCAATTACATTGTATGAATGCAAGCTCACTTCTTTAGTGCTGTAAGTGCCTACATGTTCTGTACAATGTTTTTCATCTTAAATGCCTCGGTTCCATAGCAAGAATTGGAGATAAAGAGTCAGGATCAATTGATTAAATATTTTTTAGTTTGTTGGTAGTGAATGTGGGTGATGATATTCTATTTCTACTGTTAGTTATATATGCTGAGGAATAGACTCAGCAACTTCAGAGAAATGTGTCTAATTCTAATGGCAGGCTGAAAAGTGTTCATAAATGCAGTAACAATTCTGAATTGTATTACTAGATGGAAAAAACCCCAAGATGTGGTGAATCATTTAATTCTGGTTAAAATAATTTGGTTGCCTTTGTTATAAATAACTTTGTAAAGATTGATTAGAAAGAGAGACTGAATTAGATTGCTTGCACTTGTAGGAGGAAAGTATTCCCACTGTTATAGCTTTGTACTACAGATCAAGGTAATGGATTCTTTGGGGTTTTATGATGTGGAAATGCCTGCTCTTAAGTATAATAGACTGCATTTATAGTTATTATGGACCTTAAAATACCATGACAAGGTAGAGGTTCAAAATTGCTATTCACATTTCCTGATTTCTGAGACTGATGGATTCTGGAGGCACCTAGGTTTAGTATATTTGGTCTAAGAAGTTCTCATGGGACATACAAGGAGTTTCTCATGAATGCATAAGATATTCTATAGCATGATCTACATGATGCAGTTTCAGAGATATGTACATAGGCCCTTTTCTCACAAGTTGCTTATGTGTTTTGAATTAAGGGATTGTGAATGAGATGTACATTCAGTGTTGAGAAGTGCAGCCAAAAGCCAGCACATCCCTTCAGAGAATTGTGAGCTTGTCATTATCTTTCTGGTACTATAAATCAAAGTACTGTAGGGAACAACAGGCTGAAGGGGCTGGCTAGCTCAAGCCTCTGACCTGAGCTTGAACAAACTTTTGTGTGTATGTCTGAGAGGTGATTGTTTAGCATGTTCTGCAATAAAAATCATTAATCAAAACTTTGAATCATCCAAAGTCCTTTGCTATTCTCACATTTAGAATGTATTTCCTAACAGTTGTGGTGTTTCTCACTGTGATTTATGTCTGTTATATAAATCTTGTGCTCCTTTTCAGTTCATTGCAACAGCTCATATAGGAACCTCCAGCTCTTACTTATCATGGCAGGGGGGTTGTCACTAGATGAACTGAAGGTCCTTTCCAACCCTAACTATTCTATGATTATGTCTTCATGCTGTCCTTCAAAATATTTGTATTTTCTCCATTGAGTAGAAATCTGTTACAGCTCTAGTGGTTTATGAAAGATGTTTAGGTCATGAAGTTATTTTGTGAAGGGGGAAAAATGCCACTATTTCTGTCCTGTGTTGCCACCCCTTCCAAGTGAACTGAACTATCTGAATCCCAAGACTCCTATTTGGAGAAGCTAAGTTGAGAGCAGGAATGGACACTTAGGATTGCTTAGGGACACTGCAATCCATGGAGAATGCATTTCATGCAGCCTCTATGTGCCATATGTGAGAACCTTTTGTCCTTTCCTGTTAGACACAGGGAGCTGATTGCCTAAGCGTTCCCAGGATCCAGACCCAAATCTGGCATTTCAACACTCAGATTAAACTTCTGTAGTGGGAGGTCTGATCTCCTTGTACTTCTGTGGTGCAGGCGCTGGCACTACAATAATCACAGGCTGGATGGAAAAATAAGTCAACAAATATCCTCTCATAGAAGCAGCGTACTTTAATATTAAATAAATGCATTAAATTTATGTTAATTTTTGTGACTCTTAGATTCTTATTTCTTCTATTTTTATTTTTTTTTGGTGTGTGTCCAGTTCCATTTTTTTTGTATTTCAGAGGAGCAAATTCATTGGGATTGCAACAGACACTCTTGCTATCTGACAGCCCCTTTATTTGTAATACCAAAACTACGCAATCATAGAATCCTACAATGATTTCTGTTGGAAGGGATCTTAAAGCTAATCCAGTTCCAGCTCCCTGCCATGGGCAGGGACACCTTCCACTAGAGCAGGTTGCTCCAAGCCCCTGTGTCCAACCTGGCCTTGAGCACTGCCAGGGATGGGGCAGCTGCAGCTTCTCTGGGCACCCTGTGCCAGCGCCTCAGCACCCTCACAGGGAAGAACTTCTCCCTATTATCTAATTTAAATGCACTCTCTTTCAGTTTAAAGCCATTACCCCTTGTCCTATCACTACATGCCCTTGTATGCCCTTGCTGAAATGTCAACTGAATGCTGATTATGAACATGGTATCTCTATTAATTTTTTCTTAGGTAGATAGGGAGTCAAAGTAGGGAGGTATGAAATTAAGTATATAACAGGTGATGGGTGCTGAAAATGAACTCAGCTGCCTGACAGCTTAGCTTTTGTGATGTAAAAATAGGCTTTCATGCATTTTAAAAATATTTATTGTGAACCTGTGCAGCCTGATACCTCTGTTTCATGCTTAGGAGTAAGCTTTCAAGGAATTACTTGAGAGCAGTGAGAAAGAAGAATCTGGGCCATACTGTGCTTGTTGCTGTTGCTGAGGTTGAAAATAATTTATAATTCGTATTTTTCTTTCAGGAAATGTGCTGTCAGCTCTTCAGAGTGTACTGTGATTGAGCCAGGAAAGGACTATGTGCTGGACAGTGTCCATCATAAATATGCCATGCGTCATAGGGCTAAACACTGTAATAGAAGAGCATTATTATAATGAGAAACTGATTACTAGAACCCTGCTATAATATGGAATGCTTTTTCTTGATTGTTCTTTATTTTATAAGTGCATGCAAAATAATTCTGTAGGGAACTAAAATAGGACCTCAGACAAGGGAAGCTGATGAAAACATCTACTGCATTTACAAGGTAAACCTTGGCCTTAGTGGGTATCTGAATTACCGGGGGCCCAACAGGAGGGGGAAAAATAAAGTCACTGCGGTGAAACGAGTTGCTAGCGAATGATCCAAACATTGCTGCCTCATCCTCAGGGCTGAGTAGATCCAGCAGGTTCCTGTTGCGTGGCGGGTGGGCAGGCTCCAGTCTCACTGACCCTAATGGCTGCCGCCGTGCTCCTCCTGCACCTGCCTGCTGTTTTATTTGCTGACTTTCAGCGGACAGGGGGAGCCGCCTGGGGAAGGGAAGGGATTTGTCGGAGCAAGCCCAGGCACAGCGACAGGTTGGGCAGAGAAGAGATTCAGAGCAGCCCTGCAGAGAAGGACTTGGGGGTGTTGGTTGATGAGAAAATGAACATGAGCCGGCTTCAGTGTGCGCTTGCAGCCCAGAAAGCCACCTGTATCCTGGGCTGCATCAAAAGGAGCGTGACCAGCAGGTCGAAGGAGGTGATCCTGCCCCTCTACTCTGCTCTCGTGAGACCTCACCTGGAGTATTGTGTGCAGTTCTGGTGTCCTCAACATAAAAAGGACATGGAACTGTTGGAACAAGTCCAGAGAAGGGCCACAAGGATGATCAGGGGACTGGAGCACCTCCCGTATGAAGACAGGCTGAGAAAGTTGGGGCTGTTCAGCCTGGAGAAGAGAAGGCTGCGTGGAGACCTCATAGCAGCCTCCCAGTATCTGAAGGGGGCCTATAGGGATGCTGGGGAGGGACTCTTCATTAGGGACTGCAGTGATAGGACAAGGGGTAACGGGTTAAAATTTAAACAGGGGAAGTTTAGGCTGGATATAAGGAAGAAATTCTTTCTGGTTAGGGTGGTGAAGCACTGGAATGGGTTGCCCGAGGAAGCTGTGAATGCTCCATCCCTGGCAGTGTTCAAGGCCAGGTTGGACGAAGCCTTGGGTGATATGATTTAGTGTGAGGTGTCCCTGCCCATGGCAGGGGGGTTGGAACTGAATGATCTTAACTATTCTATGATTCTACGTTCTGGGGTGACAGACAGTGGTAAGTCCATGCCATAGTGACCATGCCACAGGACTAGAAGTCCTATCTTTTCTGTATTCCTGATTTGCTTCTCCATGCCCTTTCTGACACTGAAATCTCAGGAAATTACATACACCAGCTTTCTAGAACACAAACTGAGGAACCTTATTTGCAAACATAGTGATTATTTCAGGTATGGTTTGGTTTGGTTTGTTTTTTTTTCTATTAAGGAAACACATTATGTGGCCTTTATTCTTGGCCAGTGCAGATCCCGATCTTCAGAAGCGTAAAGATTTTTGGAGTAAATGTATGTAAAGCATCTTTAGGTATATTTTTCAAATAGCAGATACAGAGTTTGCTGGTACAGGAAAATGGTAATGATTCTAGCTTAATACTTCAGCATTTTTAAAGATGGAAGCCTGGGTTGGAGTGGTTCTTCCACATGGGAAGATGAATAATAGCTAGAGGTAGTTAGATCCTCTGTGCTTCTTTCTGCACACTAAACAGGCCTCTTTGTAGAGCAATATTTGAACTGTGAGTGTTTTTACACCTATTTCTAGTTTTGAGTGATTCTGCTACTTCTGAAACTGGCTGTTAGACAGGATGCATTTCTGAATATGGTGAAATCTGCAGAGCAAGTAAGCATTTTTAAGCATCCCCTTCAGCATTTATGTCTTGCAGATAATGCCATTTGTATAGAAGCAAAAAATATGAAATCACTTTGAAAACTGAAGCATAACAAACTTAGAGAAATTTTACAGGGCAATTATACAGCACCAGGAAGTCTTTTACTACATTTACATGAAAATACCTCTGTACTTGCAGTGTTTCTCCCATCAACCAGTAGCTCTAGGCTTTGGGTGCCCTTTTAAGCAAGGTATCTGCTTTGAAAGGAGGACATGGAAATGTTGCTTGGCTGAGCAGATCAAAGCACTTCATAATAAAGTTAGCTTTAATTTAACAATACGTTATTGCAGAATGCAGTGGGGTTTTTTTCTGTCCTGACTCCTTGTCAGCACATTGAGTAGCCCAGACCTGCAGAGTCTGTGACCTACTCTGTGAAGTCAAAGTAGAGGCTGAGCAGTAAGAAGTAAAGGCAATGTAGCGTTGCATGTGTCTAGGTGACCATATTTGAAATTGTAAACTGTCTGGGATCAGTTCATAATATTGCAGGTTCCCTCTCAATTTTTAGGTTGCTGGTGGCTCTTTCTTGTAGCATATGTGCTCTAAGCTGTGCTTGTTTTTGATGAGTGCGCATAAAGAAATAACTAAGGAGTTAGAAAAATGTTTCAAATAGTGCTTGTCTTCATTGAGCTACATCAGACATTTGAGTCTAATCATATGTAGGAATGCAAAACATTCTGCAGCTTATTTTCACTTTGTCACATTTTGAATATCTTCTTCCTCTTACACATGGAGGAAAGAAGAACAGAAATAACTCTCTTGATGAGCTACTCAGTTTTAACAAAGACTTGAGCAAGTCAGCCACGCAGAGCTGGATGGCAGGGGAAACTGAAAGAAATTACTCTTAACAATCCCTTGTAAGATGAAAAGAATGATGGAAAGGAGCATCTGTCTCTTGCTGGATACTTTATGTGTTTAAAATCTGTCTTGCTTTTTCCATTTTTGCAAGTTTTATCCTAGGATTCATAAATGAAAAGTGAACCAGCTTATACGGTAGCTGTAAAGATGAAAGAAGAAAATATCTAGGTTGATCTCTGTTGGCATGTGTTTATACAACCCAATTCAAAGCTTCAAAAACATTCCATGAGAGATTTGACTATATAAATATTTTTTAGTTGCCAGATTTGAAAATGAGGAAAATGCAACAGGTCAAATCCTGAATCATTAACATAGTTCTTTCAAATGAGCTCCAAATGGGAAAACTTCAGCTTGACCATAAATGGATTGGGATAACTTAATGTTTTAAATCTCCTTTCCTGTCCTGTGTGCTTTACACAAATCCTAAAAATGTTGCTTAAATAGTCATATTTCCTCTGGAATGATTTGTGCTGGATTACATCAAACTTTTGAGGAAGAAAAAAACCCACAAAACACCCCACACTAGTTCTGTGATGTAGCTGCAACTAGTGTAAAGCTGCAGTCTTTCTTCAAGTAAGGTAAGGCTTTTAGTTGCATAAAGTGCGTTCTGATATTCCTAATGATGCAGAGACAGGATGCTACGATGTAAGAAAAAGGAAAACCTGTCACAGTGAAAATATAAATAAATCAGCCAGGCAAGGTCTGTTCTATTTTTGCATTTATTTTTATCAGCTGTCAGTTTTTAGAGGTGAACTACTCACCATACAATGTGAAGGTTGTACATTCTTATCCCATTTGTTAAAATACAAAATCAGTTTCTCAGTATGATATGTTTGAAAAGTGTTTGTGTAGCCTTGGATTACCTTTTATTTTGTGTACGCAAACACTACAAACCAAAGGTTTTAGTTCAGTTGTGTACTTCGAAGTAGGTGCCTGTTATTTTTCTTTAATTCATTGTCCTTGGTGAAATAATCTGTTGGGTTTATTTAGGTTTACTTCATACAAGTTTAAGAATGGTTTCATAAGCTTTTAAATTATTAGATTTAAGGGGAAAAAAGTATGAATGCATACTTTATACAGCGGGAAAAAGTCAGAAATTGCCATTTTCTTTAGCTTCTTAGGCCATGCCGTTCTATTAGGTATTTGAGACTTCTATTTCTCTTATAGAATTTCTTCACGTTGCATAAGAATTATGGCAATTTTTGGACACTATTTTAGAAACAATTTGCAGAGAAGTGTCTCACGTGCTCAGAGACTATTCATCAGTTTAGGAGAGAGTGTTAATTTTATACCTGATCCCCAACACTCAGCAGCATATGGCACAGCTGCCCTGTCACCAGTGGCAGGGTTACTCATACTTACAGCCTCCTACCTTATTTCTGCTAAGTACCACTTACTTGCACAAGAAGTTCCCTCAAAATTGTTACTGTGAGGAAGTAAATGTCACTCACCTTGATTAAGGTGCTCACAGTGACAACAGTAGAGAGAAGACATTCATGGCTGGACAGGGGTATTGCTAACTGAACAGGTAGATATAATGCTGATTACTTTGTGGTTAAATAAAGAAGGGATGTGCATATGTAGACAAACCACACTAGATGTGTACCACTCTATAGGCTTCTGAATCACTAGCTCTTGTTTCCTCAGCCTTCTGTGTCTCCTACTATACCTGGGTCAGCTTCCCGCTGATCTGAATAGGGCTGGGGAAAGGAGGCTGACTGTGCCACCTCAAAGGAGACTGACATGCCCTCAGTAAAGCTTTCGTGGCTGTAACACTTGGAATGGTATTTCACAAGAGCCAGCTATGACCCAGAGTCAAACCCCATGGAAGCAAGATCCTTTGCCTACCCTTCACCCTGCCCCAGTTCATGCAGGTCTAAAACTGGACAGTGGACTACTGAAGTGTGATATAGTCCTTCCCATGAACTTTATCAGGTTTTGAATCCAGTGTGATGAGATTTTAGTGAAAATTTTTAAACACTGTGGCTGCTGAAGTTATGTTATGGATTGGAAAGGCAAATCCCCACTCAGTTTTCATTGCTATTCTACTTCTCAGGTGAAGATGACTACCTCTGTGAGTAAGGCAGTACTCACCAAAACCAGGGAAGCCAATATCCTGAAGTTTTATAGATGGTATCCTGCCTTTCTAAAGAAAGAAAAAAACATCAGATTATAATATCACAATCTCAGGATGAAGAATTTAGGGGAAAATATTGCTTAAGTGAATTATAGAATCACAGAATAGCTAGGGTTGGAAAGGAAGACCAAGGAATCGTAATTCTTATTGAAATTTTTCTTGATGTTTCAGAAGCACCTGCTAAAAATGATGATGTGCAGCAGATACCTAATAATAGCAGCAGGTATTTAGATTTAATATGAATATCTCTCTCTGAAAACAGGTGGTGCTTCTGTCATGGCATCTTCTGGGTCTTTGAAAGTGCATAGAGGGCACAGTCTCCAAGCTGGTAAGTATGAGTGGTTATGAAGTATGTGTGTGCATGTAAATTTAAGCTAAATTAAACTTAAATTATTTTAAACTTCAGAAAATGTTAAAGGTAACGTGTGACTTGATTCCCTATTGTAAGACTTGCATATTTCTTTGGGTTTTTTGCTTTGCAGGGTTTTTGTTAGAAAGGCATTGACAGATGGGATAAGTTTAGAAGAGGCAGTGACAGATGAGATAAGTGTCAGAGCATAGGCAGTAATCTTATTCACAGCAGTTAAATGCTGCCAGCTCTTTAACAAAGGACACCCACCAGAAAATTCTCACCTCAGGCCATGAGGAATCCTGTACCCTAGCATTGACATGGTGGGAAAAAGACCCCACCACATTTAAAGATACTTCTTTGTGACAATGGAGAAAAACCCAACACCAGCAGATAAATTTATGAGTGCTTATAATTAAAAATAAATCCAAATATGTTCATTCTGTGGATGTAGCATTTTTGCTTGCCTTGTTTGAACTTGGGTGGAGACTGAGATCTTGAGAGGACCATGGACATCTTTTTTCAGCTTAGTGCTCTGGAAGGACTGATGATGTTGTGCAGCCTGGCCTCTTGCAAAGTGCCGATTTGCACTTGGAAAGCAAAGTTATCTTTGGAAGGGCTAGTTTAATCGTTTTCTACGGAGCTTTGTCAGAAATCAAGAAGTTATCCATCACACTGGAGGTGGAATTTTAACAAGAGTCTTCCAGATGTTCCTGAGATCACCCACTCACTTCTCCCTGATTCATGCATTCAAGACAGCTTTGCTCCCAATTTGATGTACAGCAAAACACACTGTTGACTTCAGTGGCCTTCAGTGTGAATACCTGTATAAATGACCTAATGTTTCTTTCCTTATGTTACACTCATTAGAAAATGCTGGCATCACCATTACAGAAAAGTCAACACTAGCCACTGTTTATACTTTCTAAGATTATTCAGATTAGAAGGTTACAAGTCAAAACTAGAAAACCATATGCTTGTTTACATCTTGCAAATTCCTAAGTCCAAAACCATTGACAGTGTTCCTGCATTCTAGGTCCTAAAGGTGGCTATGAGATGCTAACACTTCCTTCAGAACCTGGAACTCCTACTAGCCTTGAGGAACTGGGTGAGTACAGATCTTTGCAGCCAGTTGCATCAGGGGACACTTGCTTTTTCCTTTCCCTTTTTTGTTGTGATTGCTTCTAAATGTTTATTTTTGAAGTGTTGCCCTTTGAATATGTCAGCTTTACAGGCGTGCTCACACAGGCACGCACACGCATACTAATCTTGGGGCTGTGCTATGGCATTGGCTTTCTTCCTGCATTATTTATTGCACATTTCTGAGAATGGTGTCTACATAGGGTAGAAAATATGAATAACTAACAGTTGCTGAAAGAAGGACTGAAACACCAGTTTCAAAATTAATTTACTTCTTCTCTCTCATATTATACTATTTTTTCCTTTCTTTTCCCTCTGATTTCAGTGCGACTGCATTTTCTTTTTTCTCTTCTCCTGTTACTTGTATAACTATCTTTTTTTCTTCCTACCTTTTATCACTTTTCTTTTAAGCAATCATGATATTCTACCAATTCTTTCAGAATGTTGTAAACATGCACTTGGTCTGTTTTTCTCTCAAATTCTTCATCTGTAATGATATCAAATACTGGCCCTCTGATCCCATTTGTAAACATCTTCTACCTGTGTCCACCCAGAACAGACTGCTGAAAGCACTTTGTGCATGGCAGTCGGCGTGACTTGATTCTTAGTAGGAGCTTTTGACTGTCTTGTGCTTTTCAAATAAACCTTTATCTTCAAACAAATATAAGCCATTTTTTTGTGTCTAATGACATGTGGTGGATTTTTTTCTTTTGTGTGTGTGTGGTTTTTTTAGTGAAGGAAAAAATGAAAATCCGAGTATTTCTGTGTTCACAAAGAAAGCACATTCACTATTAAGACAGTACTGACAACACAAAAGAAGACTTTTCCTTTCCTTCCATTCCAGCTTGCCCAACTTTGTTCTTGGTTTGTTGGTTTTGGTGGTTGAGGTTTTTTTTAGTTTGCTTACTTGTTTTCCTTTGAGGGTTTTTTGTTCCGTATGTTTCTTGTGCTTTTCTTGCACGAAGCTCTACCAATTAATATGTTATTCTCCATGTGCGGTTTTTTAGTTCTTAGGAGCATCACTTGGCTCATCTGCATCAGGTATGACATCCAGCTTCCTGAAACCTTTCAACTAGTTAGCTCTATTGAGAAGTTTTCTAGTTTTCATGCTAGCTAACATTGAGGACACTTCACTTAACTCCTGCTGTGTCACTTTAACAGCATATAGAAATACTTCAAAATTTACCTTTTCCTTCATGACTGTTCATGACTCTGTATCAGTCCTTAAGATTGTCATTTGCTTACAACTTTAACAATCGCTGGGGATGGACTCTTCATTAGGGACTGTAGTGATAGCACAAGGGGTAACAGATTAAAACTTAAACAGGGGAAGTTTAGATTGGATATAAAGAGGAAATTCTTTACTGCAAGGGTGGTGAGGCACTGGAATGGGTTGCCCGAGGAAGTTGTGAATGCTCCATCCCTGGCAGTGTTCAAGGCCAGGTTGGACAGAGCCTTGGGTGCCATGGTTTAGTGTGAGGTGTCCCTGCTCATGGCAGGGGGGTTAGAACTGGATGATCTTAATGTCCTTTCCAACCCTAACTATTCTATGATTCTAATTTGGGATGCAGGTTTTCAATCCCTTTTGGCACAGTCAGGCCAAATTCCTTTGAAATACATTAGACAGAATAATTGAGAACTTTTTCTGAGAATTATGTTTAAGGACAATACAGACATTTCTTCTGTGTTGTCTTTTCCCACCCTTCCCCCCCCCCTTTTCATTCTGTTCTTAACATCTGGCTTTGGAACAACAACTCAAAGCCTGACTGTCAGAAAAATGATTGGATGTTCCTATGTTTTCTTTATGAAAATCTGTCAGAAAATTTGCCAACTTTCTATGCTTTTAAATTTTTGGCTGCATAGTAGATGTCTTTGATTTAAATAGCTTAATTCTGGAGAGATTCTATTATCCTGGAAACTGCTGTAGCCTCTGACAACTCTTCCTGTTGCCCAATCTTGTACAAGCTATCTATCTATGCTATTCATAATACAGTCCAAGAAGAAGAAAAAATTCCCTTTAATGGTTATTCACATCTGCTGTTGGTTGGATATAAGAATACATTCTTTCCTGTGCTGAAATCGATGCAATTTTTCCTCTGCACTCTTCTGTCTCAAATTAATTTAACAGCAGGACGTGTTTTCAGGTTAAGAACTTCCATTGGACTGGACAGGCAGGTGATTAAGAGCCTGCTGAGTAGGACAATGAGAATGCGACTCAAAGCCTTGTCCAAGCCCAGAAGGAATACAGGTTTGTATTTGGGTCTCCTGTAGCCCAGATGATTCTGGGAAGTCCCTTGGTATTCATGGACTGAAAAACTGCATGTAAGTGCCTGACACCCAGAGAGGATTGAAAGCTGGAAGGCCTGTTTGGTCAGTGAATGGAGCACTAACCTTCTACCTCCTCTCTTAGTTTCACATTAGATGAGATTACAATAATTGAAAGAAGGGCTAGAAGACGTCTTGAGAATTCATTCAGCACACAAAAAAGTTGTGTTTAAGTCAGAATCACTTTATAGAGACCTGTTTCTTGTTTCCTCTTTCCTGGTAGGTGCTAATCTACTTTTGTTTTGAAATTTCAAGAAATACTTCAGCCTCTGAGGGATTTCCTCTTGCATTCTTGTGATCTTTACTGCTAGAAAGGTTTTCCACTCTCTAATCTACCTTATTCCTGTAATTAAACTCTTTTATTACTTGGTCTGTCTCCACAGGCATCATTCCTACCTTTTGAGCTCAGTAAAGGGGATCTGTTAATGTTGTCTCCTCAAGCTTGCCTTCCCCTTCCTTGCAACAATTCTTCAGTCCCTGTTTTCAGAGCATACTTTCCAAACTTCTGATTTTGGTTGCTCTCTTGCAGGTGATACAATAGGTTACATCTTTCCAGAAGAGATTGCTTCATATAAGGCTTTACTAACCTGAATTAAAGTTGAAAGCCTTGTAAAGTAGAGTTGCATGCATTGCTTCTGTATAGTTTGCTTTCTGTCACAACATAATGACAACAGTGGCTGTGGTCTGTGGTCTTCTGCATAGATCCTGACTTGGTCAGTCTCTCAGGATCTTTTTAGGTAGAAACCTTAGTCTTCTATGTGTCCCATTTATGACAGAAATGTACTGTGTGGCAAGCTGAGTTGTTGCTGCCGAACGATGGCTTTCAGCACATTTGATGGAACAGTGTGTTTTTATGAAATGGATCATTGGTCATCGCAAACAGTGGCTATAATAACATGTTACTTGTTTCAGAAGGGGCAGTAGGTTATTCAGCTGATGTCCCTACATCAGATCGACCCCACAGCGAGGCAGCCACCTATGTTAATATTCCTGTCAGCCCCACTTCCAAAAAACAGCTTCATTACATGGAACTGGAACTTCAAGAACATAGCACAAGCATAAGAGGTAAGGAAGTCTATAATACTATATAAACAGCAAGGGTTGCAGTAATGCAGAATATATAGGGTATGGGGAATCTGAATTTCTCATCTACCCATAGGCTCTTGCTAACAGAGGAGTTGAACCCTGATATGATTCTGAGGCAGTTCTTGTAATTGCCAACCCTTTTGGAAAAGTTTTTTAAGTTGTGAGGTTCTATAAGACGATGTATCCCTCTGACAGATGCATTGTACATGCACTCCTTCTGAAGTGAACATTTCTGTGTCTGTGCAGCTTGACAGACAGTAATTTGCTTCGTGTTCTCAAGATTTTCATTGCACATATTAGAACTACACTTAATTTTTTTCTTGATTGGCTTCAGAAACAGGGCTGTGGGTGTAGGTGCACAGGGCTTGCTCCTGAAGATACTGCCTCTGGAGCCATGCAGCAAATGCTTAAGAAAAGAACACAGTGTTCTACCTGCTCTCCATGAGGATGTGTGAAAGTGCTACAGAGAAGCAGCCAGCTATTAATTTGTCTGTATCTAGGTATTTTAATTCTAATGCTTAAATTGGACAACTAGCACATAAACAGGCAATATAGCTACTATGTGTTGTCATTTAGAGATGCACGGCTCCTTCCAGAAAGCTTGTCTAGTGTCCTCAAAGTCCATTCTTTGGTGGGGTGATGATTGGAGGGAAGCCAGGGTCAGCCGCTGGTAACCTGAAGACATCTAGCTGGCAGGCTATAAAAACATTACATGCAAGGAATAGCATGCATCTGAGTTCATTGGCTGTTTTCCCCCAAAATTAAATCCCCTTGAGGTACACATCGGACTTCCCCATCTTCCCACATTACCCACCAAGTATATCCACGTCCCTGAGCAAAAGCAATCCCACAAGTGGGCCTTTACCTGCAGCAGGAATAACCCAGACTGTCTTTCCCAGCAAACTCTTTATGTGCACCACAGGAACTTTATCGCCCTCTGCAGTATGTAAAAGGATCTGACATTTACTTGCTCACCTTCGGTATTGATGAGTTTCTATGTATAGCTTATAGCTATGGAGATTTTAATTGTCATACTTTTAATTTCAGGAATTTTATTAGCTTTTAAATGCAGCACTTTTCCCGTAGTTTTTGTGTTTATATGGTTTTAGTTAAGTAATTCTAAGCTTTTCCCAAAATTTAGTGTAGCTCTCTGTACAACATCCTGTTGAGTTATAAAAGTGATGTTTTATCTTCATTTTAAAGGCAGAGAACCAAGGCATTAAGAATGAAGAGACAAAGTCCATAAATTGATGTAAACTTTCCTAAATGACAACTACTCTCCTAAGCTCAACTTGTATCACTCCAAAGGTGCCTTTAATAACCACAAACACTTTATGTTTTCATACTAAAGTTTTTCCAGCCTCTGGAGTTGTGTGTCTGTGCCTATGTAGAATTGTTTTACTCCTGAACAGACTAAGCAGCTTTTATTTCCCTTATTGCCAGTTATTAAACTAAATTGTCATTCTGTCTGAGGCTGAAGATGGTTGATCTTAAGACATTCACATGCCTAATCCAGACAAATAAGAATCCTTGCCAACTGCCCTACCAAAGGTGTTTTCTAATACTAGGAGTTCATCTATGGACTAGTATCCAGCTGATGAAGGTCCTGGGTCAGTTCTACCCAGGAATATGCGAGGGGTATCATGTTTTACAGGGTTTCTTTTGGTATTTCAGGGAGTGGATCATCCCGATATGCACAGATTGACATTGCAGCCACCGAGACAGCCCACAAGGTGGGAACACAGCATGCTCAGTGCCGGGAGGAACGCTTGCAGGAGCTAGAGCAGAAGAAGAAAGGGGCTCAGCAGTGACCTGTCTAGGAAAGGACTTTTTGCTCACCCTAAACTGGTACTAATTTATCTTCCAAAAGATTCACATTTATTGTAAAAAATACTTGTACAAAATGCTGCCATTGCTTATTGCATTTATACCAGATTCATTCCAATATCTTGATTCCTAATTGGAAAGCTGGTAGCATGAAGCAGGTGTGTGGTCTTTGTTTTTGTTTTAATTTGGTTGCAAAGTCCAGAGTTTATTTTTTTTTCATATGCAGTGACAGATGTAAATTACCTTTTTCTATAATCCTAAAGTCCTGGAGAATCTGGAGCCAATTCCAGTGTTCATTAAATGGTGGCATTTTCTTTAAAACTAAAGAACTTGAATGTGTGCAGATAAGGGAATGTGAGTGTGTGCGTGGTAAGTGTACACATATGTATGTTTTCATGTGTGCACATGTATGTATGTAAGCACACATTACTGATAAAATATATGTATATATTTGAGTGTATAAAATATGTAAAACCTCTATTAATATATTAATGGACTCTTACAAAAGCAAGACAACTCAGTGCCTGATTTTTTGCAGGCACAGTTTTGTTAAATTTACGTGCTATTTATGGACACGCTTAACTTTACCTATTGGTAATTCAGTTTTATACCTCACCAAGAGCTCTGCAGCATTGACTAAAGTTGCTCACATTTAAAAGTTGCTGTGTCAGGGATGCGTGTGTGTATGCATACAGACAAGAGCACACACAAACAAGTTGTTTAATTATGTTTATAAACCAAAGCAATATGAAGGGACATTTTGTGTGCTTCTGTTCTTAAAATACTGTGACAAAACATAGGCTTTGACTTCATAGTTGCTGAGTACCTACAATTCTAGGCAATTTTCTTGGAGCTGAAGGTGTGTATCACTTTGAAAATCAGGTCTCATGTTTCTCACACAGAATATCTCAAAATGAAGGTATTCATTTGGAAAACAGAGTCCTTTATTTGTATCTCTAAAACTATCCCAATGTAAGCCATCATCAAAAGAAATAATCCACCTTGAATCTAAAACTTCCACTGAATAATTCTCTGCTGTCCCTAAATAACATAAAATCAGTTCTGTGCAAGAGGATGGTGTCTTCAGAGATGCTACAGAACTGAGGCACAGCAGGATGTTGTGTTGTAATATAGATTTACCCACAAGCCTGTGACATCTTGCTTTTGTACAGTGAAATTATATGATTAAAAACTTGACTTAGTTTCTTGTGTTGCATTGTCTCTGTAGTTCTTGTGTTCTACATATTTGTCCTGATACGAGATGTTATTTAAATAAAATGCTATGGCAGAGACACTAGACTAACAAGGCAGTGTACTTACGAAGAAAGCAAAATTTTGGCCTGCGATAACATATCAGCTTTGGCTTCCAGAAGTTATGGGATATCTTGGGTATTATGATGTTTTGACTGTGTCCTCTTAAGATACAATACCACAGCCTGAGTTTGGTTTTGAGATATGTGTTATAATTTGGCGAGTTTTGTGCCAGTGAGGGTTTTGCTATATGATTTAGAATGAGAGTGAGGCAGAATTCAACCTAGAAATTTATTTGAATGTAGCCTCAATAATAATGTAAGATGCCAGAAATCTCTCAAAGAAATAAAAATGTGTTCCAGAGTTGACAATTGCCATTGTCATCTGTCCTGTGCTAAGACGTTCTTTTCTGTTTATCAGCCTAGTGTATTTCTGAAGGGAAAATAAATACTTCTAATGAGGTTCCCAGTTTAAAAGAGTTTTCTGATTTGTCAAATGGACAGTGGTGATCTGCTTTGTAAACCCATATGCAGTGCAACTGGAATGCCTTGGACATACAGCTCTTTGGGACCAGGTTTATCACACTGAACTGTTATGCAATTAAGGATCCTCCATTAGAGTACTTGCAGGGTTAAATCTCTTGCTTTGTGCCTATTTAATATTTAAAATGAACATAGCTTGCCTGATGCACTGAAATGCAGCATTTTCCACTGTGATACATATGCTACATAATAGTACTTGCAGCTACATATTGAAGCTGCAATATTTCTGTTGTAAAAATTCTATTTACCAGCAGACACCAGGTTCTCTACAAAGGCTGCCTTCCTGTACGTTGCTCAAAGTTACACTGAATCCCGGACTTGCAGCACAGGCAAAGATTGGACACAACAGTAAAAGTCATCAGATTGCTGCTGACCTTACACGAGGAGCCCCAGTTTTAAAAACGTTTTTTTCAGGTTGAACTGGGCTGTGAATCTGTGCATGCACATGGTTCTCTGTGCATGTGCATTTGTGTATGTCATAGTAGCTTCAGCTAGGATTAGCTGCATGGATAATGTAGCTATAATGATATAATAATGTAGCTATAAATTGGTATTTATAGCCTCTTTAATGTCAACATGGTTATCATAATGTCAACATAATTGTTTCTCCTTTTTTACTTCGCTTGAATAGGACAAATATGTGAAATTACTTTCACTTACTTTTCAAATTCACTTCATATTCTCATGCACTAAATTGTATTCAGGAGGCTGAAGCAGAAGGAACAAACCCTACTGTTGCACCTCTTAGAAATGGGCTGATTGTTGGCTTTGTAGTACCTTAGAGGCCTCCCAGTCAAATTATAGGCTTGATATTTCTGTTGAAGAAACCAAAGTTTTCTCATTAGAAAAACAGGAGCTCACAGCAATGGAAAACTTTCCTAAACAACAGACAAAATAATGTGCCTCCAACTTCCAGCAGTGAACGGGGAAAAAGGAATTCAAACCATAATCTTATGAGCAGGCTTGTGCTCACCGTGTAGCTTCCATGGGTTAACTCTAGTACTGATGTTAATGTGCAAATAGTTACAGGTTTATCCCCAAGCCTTGCATAAAACTTGTGCATAAATGGTCTAAAATACAGTTTGTGATTGCTATAGGATGATTCCAGATTCAGAGATCTGAACCTCCCCCCGAAAAAGAAAGATCTCTCCCACTTTTGGAGATAAATGTGTCTTGTAACTTCTGCTGGTAAAAACAGAGGCTTTGCCATTTTTAATATAGCATTCTACTGGTCAGATCTCCTTCTGCCCTTGAGGAACTAATTACCAGAAGAACAAAACAATGTGATGTGGCTGATACTTCTCTAAGATGTTCTTGAAGTACTTTAACAAGGCAGGAGTGCCAGTTTGGGGATGGTGCTCTCAAGGGTAAGAAAGCACACTGTTAGCAAGTGCATAAACACTAGCGTGCTGTGTACATACCTCTTTCTTTCTGATAGTCCTACTCAGTTGGTTACTGCCAAATGTTACGGCTACTTCAGTGGGTTTTATGGTGTTGCTCATAAACTCTTATGGGACATTTTTATATGCAAGTATTTGGGTGATGGAATTTCTCCAAGTTAACATGTGCTGCAGGATGGAGGGCTGGGGTTTGGAGGCATTTAATTGCCCAACAATACAAATAGTTGTCTGGGTTTTAATAGCACTCTGGCATGTAATGGTGGAAAATTCCAGTAGGTGTCTTTAGGTATCTAAATGTATGCGAAAATCTGCCCCAGGAGCTGTTTTTAGCAAATGACTTGGAAATATTCCTTGTTTTCCTCTCTGCTGTAGAAGAAAAAAAAGGGGGGGGGGGGGGGGGAATGTTAATTAGTGCAGCTTGGAAAACTATATTTGAATTTGAATTATGAGTAATTATATTTTTGATGAGATGCTGAAACATGCACCCTTTGGTAAGTACCTTTTCTAGTCTGTCTGGGATTACACACATACTGTTGCTAAAACAACCACAAGAATAAGACACAATGAGTTACTAGTCACCCATTTCTGTTCAAATCATGCATTTTTTGTCAGATGAAATTGCTGTTATGTTTTTATGTCACCTTTTATCTGGGAAGAACCTCAGCTCTCATTCAGCCAGTCATATAAACGTTATTTTGCAAATCTAGATTGAAAGGAAATCTTAATTTAACATCTTACATCAATAAGGACTAACAAAGGGGGGAGAAGGGTGGATGAATTAGAAGTTAATAAAATTTGTAAGGGGTAGCTCTGAAAATGTGTCTTTCAGTGTAGCTGTATTGGGTGCTGGTGAGACCTCACCTCCAGTACTGTGGGCAGCTCCGGGCCCTGTAGTGGGATAAGGATGTGGAGGTCCTTGAACACGTCCAGAGGAGGGCTGAAACACATGTCCTGTGAGGAGCAGCTGAGGGCATGGGTTTGTCTGGTTTTGTCTGGTTTAACAAGAAGTCTGCTCTCTACAGCTTCCTCAGGAGGGGAGGTAGAGAGAGGTGCTGATCTCTTTTCCCTCTGATGAAGACACAGGATGCCTGGGAATGGCTCAAAGCTGTGTCAGGGAAGCTTAGAGTGGACTTTTGGAAGCATTTCTTTACCAAGAGGGTGGTCAAACCCTGGTGGTCGATGCCCCAGGCCTGTCAGAGTTTAAGAGGCATTTGAACAATGCCCTTAACAACGTGCTGTAACTTTTGGTCAGCCCTGTCGTGGTCAGGCAGTTGGATCAGATAATTATTATAGTGCCCTTTCAACTGAAAATATTCCATTCTACTCTATTCTAAAGATTATAGGCTTCAGGGTAGCCTCAGGACAACGATGATCAGTTGGTGACAGATTAGAAACAACTCTCCTAAGGACTTTTCTTTGAAAGGCTGGAATGTAAGAGAGAGAAAAATACAGGTAGTTCATGTCCTAGATTTTGATGCATTAAAGAGCTTTATGAGACACTGGACAGGTTTAGGGAGTGCAGTTGCCAAGTAAACTTTGAGCTTAGTAAAAACTTCAGGGTGAATGAAAGTTAACTTTAAAACTTGCTTTCAAACATCTGTCTGTATCAGAGCATCTAGAAATAATTCAAATTTATTATCCCACTGTGTACACAGAGGCGTATGAAACATCACCGTTTCACTGAAATAATAAGTGTCAACTTATCTGAGGAATGTGCTGTGGGGGGGTGGGATCAGAAAGCAGATTTAGCATGACAGTAATTTGTCTCTACATTACATTATACTGTTGTGAAATCCCTAAAAATAAATAATTTAAAAAAGCCCCAGCATCTGCTATTGTATAAGTTAAATTTTACTCATTTGTGGGCTGAGCTGGGAATTTATGGATAGTTCCTATACAGAAAATAGAGCAGATTGCATGCTCGGGAAGGAACCTGGCCTTCGATTACCAAAGTTTTATTATGTAATTATAATATATACATCATTTATTATACATATTATGCTCCAATTTGTCACACATCCATGTCTCTGCTACACTTGGAAGATGCACGCCATAGCCTGTCTTTGGTCGCTGTAACAGTTTGTCATGTTACTACCACCAGTCAGCAGTACTGGACACGTTGGAAAGCACAGGAAAAAAATCATATTGGGAATTTGATGAAGTAGGTAGGTGTCAGCAGAGAGCTGGATAGCAACAGTTGTCCTTTGCTGTTGTACTGACAGAAATGCCGCTGCAGGGTGGCAGAAGTGTGTGTGAGTCTGTTAGATGTAGTTTGGGCCAGAGCTGGAGGCTTCCCAGCTGACGTGTTGCTTCTTGTACAAAGTCTGGTTGTAACAAGGAAATGGAGTTTCATGGAACAGGCTAAGGTTGGAGTTGTGTTCTTGGTTACAAAGATGTGCTGGCACTGTCTCTACCAGGATGGGGTGGAAAATGTGGGATGGTTAAATGCCAGTTAGAACTTACGTTGGGTGAAGGATGCTGTGAAACAGAGAACCCTAACTTGGCATGAAGATGTACCCAATTCTGTGTTCAGCTATATAGTGTTAGATACAACAGCTGAGAGATTTGGTAGAGATGAATCATGTCTACTGAAAGCCCAGGAACTGATCTGAGGTGACTTTTTGCCATCTCTGTGCTTCTTACACTGAATACGCATAGCTGAGAGCTGTGAAAATGCATTTCCTGTAGTGACTGGACTTGAAGAAGTCCCAGGTGGCCTGCGTTGGACCTTTGCTGACCCTACTTTTTTCCAGTGTCAAGCTCTCCTTTCCAGTGCCAAGCCCTCCTCTACACTGAGAACACTGAACACGTTTAGACCCTCTCATTGCTGTCCATCTGCTTGGGGAACTGTCAAGGTGCAAGTCAGAGCCTGCAGTTGGCCACAGCTTCAGTCTGGACTGCTCCAGGACCACTGCTTGCTGATACAGCACAGACTTCTGACTCTCTTGTTTGGTTACAGTGGTTGCTTTTTTCCTTTGAAAAATTCTGGCATGGCTGTTCATACAGATGGCAATCAAATGAGAAGGACAACAATTCCTAAGAATGTCTCTGGAAAATCATGTTCTTATCCTGAATTAATAACAAATAATTAGTGAAAACTTTGTTTTGCAGTTCTGCAGAGCTCATTCCTCTGCAGTGGAATGAGGGTCGGGTTGCACAAGGCTTGCAGCAACCATCAGTGGTAAGGGTTTAGCAGCACCAGCAAAGTGAGGCTGATGCAAGCGTTGTCTAAGACATGTATCCCACACAGATCATGATTATTAGCTGCTTGAGGAAGGGCTTGGAGAAGGGCAAGCCAAGTGTTCCAGGCTGCATTCACCTGTGTGGAAGGTGTCCAGACTGTTGGAATGTGGGTTTTGTGTAAGAATCTGTGTCAGTTTGGTGCAGACTAGGAAAAAGATGTAACCTGAAATATTTCTGAGAAAAAAAGGAGAGAAATTTACTCCATTTCCCAGCTGTGGTCTGCTGTTGAACTGAAAAGTACTGTAACCCCTGATTCCTAAGCTCTTGCCATGAAAGGCTCTCCTTTTGGAGATGTCACTTTTTGCACATAGTTCTTCCCACCCCCCTTTTGTTTTCTTAAACTTTAAAATGAAACAAATACTACATTACCAGTGGCCACAAGCACTGGTAAGTATGAATGAGGACTCTTTACACAGTGACTGGGCACATTTGAAATCGTAAATGAGAGTCCTAGAACTTGCATCAGAATTGAGGACAGAGAATGGACCCTTTCCCCATTGAAAGACCATCTCGTTAATGGTTCTGGTTCAGCTGTCTTCTTGAACAGCTGATTGAACTGAGATTTGAATTTTTAAGTTAGGCTCTCAGATCTAATGACAAGCATTGCAAATTGCTGGGATTCATACACAGGTTTCCAGTTCTCTGTGTGTTTCTTCCTAAAATAATATAACTCCCTTCCCTTTTTAAAGTAAGTTCCCTGGAAAATTAGAACTGCAGAACATTAGATAGCATTTAACAGGAGGCTTATTTCAAAGTGGTTCAGCACTCACTTTGCCCTGTAGAAATCACCAGGTTTAAGATACAGTAAAACAGTTATTGACAGGTGACCTTTGGGACTGAAAACAACTAATTTTGTTAAAATGGATACGCAAACACATAAGTGAAGGAATGAATGTTATATTGATGTATCCTTTGTTTTTATGTTCACATGTTAAGCATTAATACCTGTGTATTGTTTTCTTTTTGATTTGGGAGACTGCTCTTTTGTTGAGTGGTGGGATAACACACATGAAGGTTTGGACATGAAAATGCAGTAAGGACTATTGATAAAAGCATTTGGGTGACAGTTGCTGCTGTACTAGGTTTGATTCAACTTGAAATGTTTACTGAGGATGTAAGTTTATGGATTTATTTTGGCTGAACTGGACAGACCTTATGAATGCTTCCATTTTATGAGTGTGGATACCAGTACAAGAAATCCATAGTGGCTTTTTTTCTCTGCAGATTAACAACATACTTCCCAATAGGTGTCATGTGAATGGCCTGAAATGCATGTTAGCTGTGTGTGGTATTTGGGAATGTTGATTCTGGTATTTAGAAGCTGTCTGTTAGATAACGTATATGGGAAACGTGGTCTTTGTCTTTCACAGCTCCCTGTTCTCTGTCACAAAGATAGGTCTATTTGTATTGAAAGCAACAGTGCTATTCTATTCTATTCATGGACATTTATTTATTTTTATTTCATGACTTTTGTTATTTCTTTCTTTTAGTCTCATTAAATGATATGGAAAGAAATATACATTTAAAAAATGATTTTATAACTGCCTGTGTACTACTTGCTGGTAGATTTTTGTATATGTAACGGCACATTTTTAAACAAACCAACAAACCCCAAACCTGAATAGCTCTGAAGCAGTGCCAAATGTTGACAGGGAAGGTCTGGGGATGGTGACCCAAGCATGTGAACTGTGTGTCACCTCTGCCTGGGTTAGTCCTGAGCTGAACACTCTACTTGGGTGTTTGACCGGTGTTCCTGGGGTCCTATGTTCTTTCACAGTGTAACTGACTGCACTAATTCATCCAATACTGAACTGAAATCTGGTGAGTTAGGATCTTGTCAGTGCCCTTTGGGGCCAGCAGAGCGAGATCCTGCTGACCCTGCGTGCTGGGATCTAGGCAGCATACACACAGGTATGCTTCACGTTCTCCTGCTGGGAGCCTGGGAGCTCTCATTCAGGGCTTGAATCCCTTCCGAATGCTCAGCTAAGATCAGCCTTTGAGACAGCCTCATCCTGGAAGATTCTTTTTCTGGACCTTCTGTGCAGAGGCCCCATTACTCTGGCTAGGTGGAGACTGAAGCACACAGCAAGCAGGAGAGCCCTACAATGAATCCTGCTTCCATGAACACTGAGAGTCATACCTGCAGGACTCTGGTCACTACTGCAAGGTGGGGCTGAAAAGCCAGATGTCACCTCAGCATACAAAACGTGAATGATCTCTACCTGGTGAATTTAAAGACTCTGCCTAGTACCTGATCTGTAGAGCATCAGAATCTCTTGGGAGGGGAGAGGGGAAATTGCTGCAGCAATACATCTGCTGTAGTGGCTGTTCCTTACTTGACTTGGTAGAATGATGTGATCTTAGCTCTTCTACCAGCATGTAGGACGTAGTGTTATTTTTGTTGTATTTCATGCCTTGTGTATTTATTTCCCTCTCATTTCCACCCCCAACCTGTTTAATAAATAGAATCTATGTGAAATCACTGACATGTTTACTTAAATTGAGGTTCTTTTTCAGGGCAGAATTTGACAGCCCTTATAACATAAAATGGCCCGATCCTTCCTTTTTTTCACCCTAAGAAATGCAGTTCTCTCCTCTTCCTTCTGTTCTCTTTTTATATTTCAAATTGTTTCTCAGAGTGGTTTGAAAAACTTGGTAATATGAATAATTATGAAAAGATCAGATAAAATACCAATTAAGGAAGAGGTGAAGGTTCAACCCCTGTTTAAAAGCTGCTTGTTAGTTCTTTCCTATTCAGCTGTCTCTTCCATGCATCCATGAATTTCCATGAATTTCACTAGATACAGAGCTGTAGGCATATTTCATTTATACCTTTTATCTTGGCTTTGAGTCCCTATTGCTATTTACAGAAACACAAGAGCAGTGACTCAAGGTATTTTTTAATCTTCAGTGTCTCTAAGGCTACTCACTTCCGTAATTTTGGTCATATAAATTGCATTGGAGACTTAAATCCGTAATTACCTGACCTGTACATATATTGATGTGTGAGGTGCCGACTACAGGAGCAAGACTGAAAGCACAGTTTACAACTCACTAGCCTGTGCACTGTACCCGGACTTCAAGAAGTAGGGAAAGCCCTAAAAAGCTTCTGGAATGGGGATGGAGACTATTCCTAATGTCTTCTCTATGCTGCTGCAGACTACCTAACTCAGCTACGGACTACTTCAGGGGAAAGCTGGATTGAGGGGCAGCAAACACTGCTGTTCAGTATTTTCCCCTCTAGGTTTGTGTGAACAATCTTGTTAATGATTCATTAACAGCTGTGTTAAATAACTACAGTGCTGGCCCCTAGCCTCCAACTTTTGCCACTGATGATCTGTAACTCATTCTGAATTTTAAATTACTGTAAGTATTTTGTCAGCCTCTTGCACTTTGAAGCGCTTGCCAAGCATTCTCTCTGCTGAAGCCTACGTGGCCTTTGAACCTGACTACTGTCAGGCCATGTGGGTAGACACAGTACATCCACCATCTCTGTTCACAGCCTGTGTGGAAGCTGCTCTGCACTTGGAGACAGCCATCATCACTGCTGATCTGACCTTGGTTATGTCTTTTCACGAATCCTACACCATGTGCTATTCCAAAATTCTCCAAAACCTCTTCAGTAAGCATATTTATTTCAGTTACACACTGAAGACAAAACCCAGCTTTCTGCTATGCCCTCCAGCAGAGCATACTCTGCCCACCTTTATTGGAGGCTGAGACACATTGCTTTCTCTTGCAAGAGATTTCTCCCAGCAGCAGTATCAGTAAAAGCTTTTCCATTCTTGTACAATCCACCTAGGATTGCTGAGCAGCAGCTGCTGGTGCTTTGCTTAGTTCCTTTACTCTGACGTATTTAGTGCATGTGTTCAATGTGTTCAAACTCTTCACTCAGGAGCCAGTGGTGCAGGCCTCTCCACATCCAAGCTACAGCCACTAAACTGACCTGTGGTACACGGACTTATTTCCTATTCTACCAAAGGATGTAGAGACGTCTGCACCTTCTGCACAGAGTACAGAATACATTTTTGTTCTGCATTCACCTCCAAAAATGGAAAAAAAAATAACAATAAAGATAGATAAACCTGTAAGACAATGCAGTTATTGATGTGCTATAGAAGGCTGAAGAGCACTAACACAATAGTCTGGGGAAGAAATGGTGTGTAGCATCTAAGAAAAAAGACCAAACCAGTTTTCTCATAAATGGGTTTTAGCTATTGCTGGGTTTGCTTTTTTTAGCTTATCAACCAAATGGAACATACACAACAAACTGCATGAACTGAACCATCTCTTAAGGTGACTCCTAATATTAACAGGAGCTTGTGTTTCCCTCAATGGATAATGATTCTCTGGAATATAAATAACTGTTAGCTTACATTAAAATTAAAAAGGAAAAAAAAGAAAAGCTGATCAAAGTTATGAGTCAGAATCTCAAGGTAAGACTGCTCCCGCAGTTTGTTTTGGTTCAGATCACTCGCATTTTATGAAATAGTCTTTATGTACAGAACCATACAATTTTTAACAGACCATGGACCCAGCCACTGCATAATATACAGTGTGGCTGATTTTGACTGACTGTATCTCTTCACTATTTCTTATGGAATAGGCATGGCAAGCGAGGCTCAAAACAGCTTCCTCATGCAGTACACTACAGCACTGCAGTCTGCGAGTGATGGCTCCTTAACCAAGCAGCTGTAATGATTCACCTACACCGGACCTTTGCCTTGACCTTGTTCCTGAAACAGTTTCATGTGAAATGCCGGAGAAATAAAAGGGTCAGCATTATGACTATAGAAAATTTCAACCTAGATGACATATAACAGAAAAATCTGGTCCTGAAAAGGAAAGTTATAATAATCTTTACTGGTACTGGAATATGTGATCAGAGAGAAGCTGGTTTAGAACACCTCTGCCTATTCAGAACACAGAAACACATTTTTATGGTGCAAAGCTACCCTTCCTGTCTTAAAAACTAATGTGTGAGTGAACTTTAGATGAAAGGAATAAGCAACATGCTCAAAAAAAATAGGTATGGTTACTTCTCATTAAATGGGAGGGAAGGAAAAATAAAAGCCTCACCAGTATCTTGTTTTGATTTTCTTTAATGACTAAGTGTTACAAAACCAAGCAACCATGAACAAGATGATTGTACACATACATTCAGTAACTTCAGATATGTTAGCCTGTAACTAAGTTGTGTGATTTGACCTCAATACTTGTTCCCGCCTTACTTTTCCTCCCCCTCTCACATGAAGGAATCATAATCAGTGCAGCTCTGAGCTCCTGCTCAAAGTCAGTAGGAATATTTTTGCTACCTTCAGTAGAAAATGTAATAGGACAGACACTGAAAGACTTTTCTGGCCTCTCTTTTAACTTTCTGTAACTCAGTGTTTGCTTTCATTGATCAGAACACTTTTCCTAACTATCAGATTAGTGTTCACATATTTTTCCTTTTGACACAACAGCTTATTTCAAAGGCTGTTACTTGATTCAGACCTAAGGCATGTATGATCCAAGATGTGCAATTTACATTTATAATCTAATAATCTGATAGTGCAAATAGAAAACTAGCAATTAAGTGGACAAAAAAAAAAAAAATTCTTCCAGGACAACTCTGTTCAATCCTCACTATTTCAGAGGGACTCCTTGGTAAATCCTGTTGAAAACACACACTACCTGTTTTGTGTTATTCCTTATGCATGTGATTGATCCCATGAAGGGGAACCTGTTTTTATAATTCATTGTGTTGAAGACCTTGAGAGATTCTGCTGGATAAGTCTTGCAAGTGCTTCTTTACCTAGCAGAAAAACAAAACACATCACACAAGTTTTAGTAAGACCAGGAATTATCAGTGTCATATATTCATATTTTCCTGTCAGTACATGTGACAACAGCAAAGAGCAGACACCAGGGAGATTTCAAGCATTTTAGAATGAGGTCTATAAAACAATCACGCATATCCTGTATAAACATGGAGCACAGGCATGTCTTGAACAACTCCTATGGAAGTCATTCAACTTGCATGGAAAATGAGCACTGGATAATCTACATACCCTCTACTGCCAAGTTAAACTTTCAATATGTATGTACACTGGATTTATACAGACCTTATATCCTAGTTCTTTTGTCTTTTCTTCCAGCATGGTGTATTTCTCTTTGTTTCTGTTCAGATGATCCTTATCTCCAGTTCCCTCTATGTGCTTCAGTTTCTGGTGTGAAATCTCTAACTGTTTCTGATAATGATGGTGTTTTTCAATTTTTGCTTCGAAGTGTTTCAGCTCCTCCTAAAACAAATACACACAGTTTCACAGGATTTTCTTTGCTTCCTCTTTTCTTGCCAAGACTATTTTACTAAGTCAAGCACAGAAAACTTTTTCAGTTCCCTGCTTCTTACGAAGATGTGGACAATATATTATCATCAACACCCAGACATCTAATTTTGAAAGCAGGTGCTGAAAAACTCCTACCGCAGAGTCCTCAGACTGCTGATGGCTGTGAGATGCTAGGAGATGATAGCAGTGAATGCCAAATAAAAGTTTATATATCAGAATAGTGGACTGGAGGTAGGAAGGCAGACAATTTTTTAAAGAAGCCTCTTTTCAAAATCTGATCTTAAATCTGCTGTTTTCTGCTCAGACTTAAACTCTGTACTCAGAGTTAACACTGAGTTAACATCTTTATGTAGAAAAATATCTTTCCCTGAGAGATCTAACTGCAATTCTACTTACCCGAAAAGATTCAAGTTCTTTCTCCGTGAAATTGGCTGATTTGGCCATGTCCCACAAATCAATCACTCTTGGTTCTTCAAATTCTAAACAAACACGACTAAATGAAAATCTGGACACAATGCTTTCATGCCCAACTTCTATGAAAGATGAGCATGCCTTCTGACATACATACACACACATAAATATATTAAGCACTGCATTATTTGTATGCCTATTTAGATGAAATGGGAGAAAATCCAAGTACTTCAAACTACAGTATTGCTGTAGCAGGCATTTTTTAAAAAGCAAAGAAATCCCCAGGAACTGAGTAACACCACTGCTTGCCGTGCATGTTGTCTCACTTACCTACCCTTCTGGGGTCGAGGGCATAATATCCCAACTCATGTGGGCATGGAAGACAGAACTATCCCCTTTACAGGTTGTCCTACTGTCCTTTAGTAGGCTTTTAGTATTGGCATGTGAATAGAACAGGGCAGCTGTATCACTTCCGCCTACTGTGGTCAGACCACGTACTGCAATTACATCTTATTGCTTGCCCACTGATTTTAAAGTTTTTAAAATTCAAATTGATCCCAAACAAGCAGAAAACCCTCTGTATCATACCACTGGTTGCGTCATATCCCTGGTGACTGACTTTACGCAAACGCTCAAACCCCTGATTGATGCTTCTTAGCTTTTCTTTGAGTTCTCTGTGTTTGTTGTGCAAGATTTCCTCTTTCACCAGGTTCTCTTCAGGGTTAATAACATTTTTGTGGATATCTGTTGAAGAAGAAGTGTGACTGTGAACCAAATCCTCATAGGTCAAAAGCTCCAGAAAAAAAAACAAATCTGAGGTGAATAAATGATTGTTAGTTCTAAGCATTTGAGCTGAGTGTAAATAAACATCAACACCACACTTTAAGAAGCAGTAATTCCTTTTACAGGTCAGTATTAAAGACCAATACCCCTTAGTGTTGCGGAGGGTAATATTATAGAAATGCTTTTTAATTCCTACCGACCATCAGCTAAGATTTTAGTAAAGAAATGTTCTTATTTCCTAGTTTAGAAACATCCCAAGGAAATGGGATAGGGATAGTTTATGAGTCCTGAGCCTTCTTCCATGGCCATTTTATGAACCAGCAGGCCACTGAATGTTGAAATGCCTTCCAGCAGCTTCCAGCTTGGAGCCTACAATGCAAACATCAAACTGCATATGAGCTTTAGAATACTCTGGCTCTAACAATTTTAGCTGGCATTAGTAGAGCAAGTTGGATTCAGATCCTTAATTCTTTAATATACCATGAGGTGCATAAGATATTCAGGTATATCCTCTTGGGCTCCCAGCTGGTGATATAAAACATGCATGTTCTGCAGACCTTAGGACGACATTTTGCAGCAGTGTTATCTATGCTTGCTGCATGATTTCCAGTAAACTACTATGCCATCATTGCTAATCTGATGGTATTGTCCCTATTTGAAATGCAGGCAGAATCAGAGAACTGGAATAATTTTCATTAGCAGGCAAGATTTTTGGCAGCTAATGCACAACTAAACCCAGAAGTATCTGGAAATGTCAGCATCTGCACACAGTTCTGACAGAAATGTCAGACTTCGGGAGTTTCAAAGGAACTTGGAAACAATGGAGGCAATGGGCACAGAAAACAGTTGTACTGATTTCTAACTGTCTAAATAAAGTTTAGGCACCTTCTGTTCTGCTCACAGTCTCCAGCAGAATATTGTATTCATGGATCTTTTCTTTGTGATGCTTAAATTCTCGCCAAAGCTTATCCAGCTCTTCATCAGAGAACTTCCCAGAGGACTTGGCCTGAAAGAAACATGAGCCCATTATGCCTTCCAGGCCAAGCACTTTTAAGTACACTCAAACAGCCAAAACTTTTTCCCAACACACTTAGAAAAATATTAAATCCAGCTTTTCCGTAAGATCTTTTGTTTTAAATCCCTTTATATTAGTATGAGGTTAGGATTTAGACATCAATGGATACGGTGGCTTTAATCATGTCAAGAGGAAGTTTCCTTCAGACTTATAAAGCTAGACTTGCTATGGGCTACCAGTGAAAAGTGTCTGTCATTTCTATGCCACAGGAAACAATTTAATACAGAAATAAGGGCCACTGAGCTTCACATGCTACTGTAAGGGGACTGTTTGCATGATGGATGCAACTTGATATAAGTACAGTCTTTAATCTTACTCTATTGGCAAGTGAAGATTTTATCACTGCTGTGCATTTGCTCTGCAGTGATTTGTTCCTCACTAGGCTACTTTTGGCAATTAGGGAAATACTGGTCAGACAGCAGGAGCACTACCCACAAATCTTGTGACTTATTTGCTGCAATAAGTGATAGAAGGTGAATGTTATTGATACCTGTTCAGCCCCAGCCTCTTTTTTTTTCTGCTTAGGGAATATTTCTATCTAATGGATTTTACCGTTCCCCAAACCACAAGACATCATGTCCCTTGCCAGAGCTATATCCAGTTACAGCAACATTGTAAAACCCAGCAATTATTTTTCTCTGCTTTGCTACCACTGCAGTAAACTGGTCTAAGAATTGTTTGCTTTACCTGACTTCCTATTTCTTAAAACTTAAATTATTTAATTCTCAAAGAGTATGACTCTTGTCAGTTTTAATTGCCTAGACTGACAGTTTATTTTTTATATGCATTAATGCAAATCCTGGAAATTTTCATTTGAATACCAGGTTGGGAAAATTCTTATGTAACATCCCCCACTATACATTTCCCTTTTAATCAGTCTATGAAATGGTTCTATTTTAAATACATTTTTAAAAAAAAACCCAGAAACAAGAAAACCAGGAAAATCAGCACGAAGTGTACTACCACACAGTGTAACAGTCCCACAAAGCGAAATTGTGAGTTCAGTAAAATTTAAGGAAAAACTGTTTGTCTCCAATGGATCCAAGATTTTACTCTTCATGCAGACTGATGCAGGACCTTTCTTTGGTAAAGAGAACCTGCCATGCCTGGTGACCTGGATGCAGATGGCATGCCCTGAGAGCACAGCTCGGCCAGTACTTAAAAGCAGAGTACTAAAGCTATTCAAGTCAGGCAGCTCCCAGAATACACAGATAGTAATTCAAAGAAGAAACACTCTTCAGTTTCCAGAAATCTTACTCACCTTGCTCCATAATTTTTCCAGTCTTGGATCATCTAGTATATCACTTTCTGTACCACCTTTAATGTAGTTAGTATCAACTAGTTGAGAGTCCTTCTTTCCATTCATTCCATATTTAGTCATAATGACTGCAAGGGAATAGAAGATACAGAAATATTAAAACCAACTACAGATGTATGCAAGATGAGAGACTGACTACATCCTTGCTTGCAGAGCTCCTTGCTGACCTCCAATGAACTCGTGTGCTCAGTGTCTGGAAAGACAACCTGTTATTTAATGGTTCAAACATAAACACAGGTGTCTAACCATGCATGTGTCTGATGCAAAGTTTAAACTTCTTCTGCAAAGATATGCCTTACCATTTAAGTTGCGTCTAAGTTTGGCTTCCTTCTCTCCATCTTCATCTAGCCCTTCAGCCTTCAGTTTTTTCCAACTTAGCTCATCCTTTTCTTGTATTTTTAGATCACTGTGCAGCTCTGCCAGTTTCACAGCAGAGAGCTGAAGCTAACAAGAAAAGAGAAAGGTTTGTATTTAGTTATATGGAGTCATCTCTTGCGGCAGTGTTACCTCAGAAGCCAGTATAGATGCATAGGTGATATAGCACAGCATTTTTATTTTAATGCTATGTATCCATCTGAATTTAAGGGCCTTAAGGTATGAGTTTGTGCATACATAACACCCCTTGCTTACAAACACGGCTATGCCCCTGCATAGCAATGTTAACAGAGTCATCATGTTAATGATGTTCTATGATTCTATGATACTGTGAGACTATGATCATCATCTGGCCTCTCTCAACTCTTCAGCTACTTGGATGACAGTGGAATTAAGTAAGGTTTAAAAATCTGTGTCTTTCTTTGGTATTCCTTCAAGTAATTTAAATAGGATTTTCCTTCCACTTTTAACAGGACTGTCTTCTAAAAATCATTCTACCTTAAAAATGTCCAGTAGCAATAACAAAAAATGTAAAAAAAAAACCCCACAACAAAATATTGATTAAATCAATTCAGTTTCACTAATTTACAAAAGGCAGAACTGACCCAATTTCTCCAACAAGATGACATTACTCCCATGTGTGCAACAAGGATACTTGTGGACCACCTCCTAAACCTATAGATACAGTGAGCTGGTAAATTTTATTTGTGACTATGGTTTTGCAGGACTCTGAGGATGGCCCTGCAGGTCAAGGAGCCACTTCACCAGCTACTTTTACTATGATCAAAGAGCAAAAATTGTTAAGATCACTTCTTAACATGGTTCATGTGCATTAAAAACATACAAACCCTACAGGCATTCCTGTCCATGTAAAAGAACAAAAAGATAAGACATTGAGGCTGAAGCTATAAAAAAAAAAAAATTAAGATTTCAATGAATGGTAGGTCAGCATGAAATTTTGTGAAATACAGAGAAAACAGGAATAGAGATAATGACTAATATAATATTGGCTAAGCAGCACTGCTTTGAGACTGACTTCTGAACTTCTGTATTTTAGACAGTTTAACTCTCCAGTTTAAAACAAAGAAATATAACAAATCATATTAATGCTTCAGAACTTCTTTTTTTGCGTGTGCATGTTAATTACAAGAAGGTGAGGTAAGGAAAAGCCCAGAGAAGAACACAGATCCAAAACCATGAGCAGTGTGACTTCCAACACAGCTCTGTCTGAGCCATCTGAGTCCTTCAACCTCCGACCACTCAGTAGCCAGCTCCCAGGAGCTCAGATCCAGCTCTGAACCAGCTGGGCTCATCTGTCCTAGGACAATCTTATGGGGGTTGCCATTAAAATCAGATTACAGATTATGAAAATTCTCATTTTCAGTGAGGAAGCAGTATGCTTAATAAACACAGACCCAGAATTCAGTATTTTTTTTAAACATTAGGCTGATACTGAAAAGATGTAGACATCCACCTGAGTTTCAGCAGGTTACTTGATTATTTTCAGCTAATGGACTAAACTGCTACTGACAGGAATTCAGGAACCTATGGACATTATTGCGTCTGATTTCAGTTGAGGCTGTCCAATTAACTAGTCTTGTGCTACTGAATACAATTATTTCACTAAGTTGTTTTACTTTCAAGTATCTTGCACTTGGCTTACTGAAATAATTTTCTAAAATCTAGAGTAGTTAGAACCACAGGCAAATATGAAATTTATAGAACACATTAAAACTTCTCATCCCTCTAATAGTAAAGCAAAGAAGTATTTCTATTGTCTTCTTTACCATCTGCTTTTGGGGAACTGCTTGATGGAAACTAAGCACTTAGAAGGAACCCCTTTATTTATGATTTTTAGTATGTGCTAAAGTGAAAAAAACCCAACCTCAATCGTGCATTTATTTGCTTTCCTGGAACTGGACGGCCAGAATGTCACTGCTGCAGTGGCACCAAGTAACAACACTTTGCTCAGCAAAACACTGTGCCCTGATCTGTCAGGAGAAAGACTGGGTGAAAAGTTCACTATAACCAACCATCTCAGCAGTTCTGTGCTCTAATGTCAGGATCCAACTGGCGTGGATTTAATATGTAGTTAGGCTGAGCAGATCCAGTACAAAAACCACCATCAGTAACTTGTATAACAATTAATTCAGCTCCTAAGTACTTCAAAAATGGAAAATACTATTTTAAATGTATGACTTCACATCAAAGACACACTATTGTATAAAAGATTATACAATGCAGTTTAACTCTCCACAGTCAGTGCAATCTCAAAATACAGTTTTCTGTTTTCTAAAAGTGCCAGAGAATATCAGAAATTCTGAACATAAAGTTTGGAGACATCATCAATCAAACATTTTAAAATCTTAATAAAAACTAAGTAAATACATTAAGTCCACTGGTCCTTAAGAGAAAAAAGAAAATATATTCAAATTTCTCCCAATTCCAATAATGTTTTTCTGATTCTCATTACAATTTACTGCAAAACTCAACTGTCCTTTTAAACATTATAAATCATTTCAAATCAGTTGGAAGCCTTTTGCTTGTGCCATTTATGTAACACAGAAGTGAATACACAAGCTAATTTAAAGTATATAGCTCAAGCACCGTTTCCTTCAAGATCATCTCATGTAAGACTTTGAATGACATCATATAAAAAATGTCAACAGGTAAGACTCCACATTACTAACATCAGCCATACGTCGAATAACTAGAAGCAGAGGTGAAAAGTTAAGTTTAATGATTAAATAACAAAGCACCAAGTTCCTTACACTCATTCCTTATTCCTTATGCTGCTTGGATATTAACATCCAAGATAGGCACCTGGCAATTCTGGAAATGAGCACTGGAAATCAAGTTGTTTGCTGTTCACCTACAGACATTACGTGCATTATCATTACCTAGGCCCTCTCTTCTGAAAGGAAATAGTTCTTTAATTTTTTAGGAGTAACATGTCCTAAATTCCAGAGCCTGGAATGGCCAGGAAGCTGGAAGCCCTGATAACAAACAATGCTAGAACTACATCAGTGGCAACAATCAGCACAGTGGATTGCTAGAAACCAGTGGGCCAAACCATGTACCTTGTGAAACCTATGTAATATTTGTCATTGGTTCAAATAACTAGACTTAGGGTCTGACTAAGAAAAACTCTTGTATTAAAATCACTTTTTAAAGAGTCTATATACAATCTCTATGACGAGACCCTGAAGGAAGATCAAAACCTCCCTCCCTCAGGGAATTCCAGCTTGCCAGCTCCTGGCTCCCACTAAGTAAGGTTTTGGGGCTTTCTGAAGGACTGCTCATCCAGTTGTGTGTTGCAGCACTGAACTGCAATATCTATCTTTTCTGTCAAAACAAAGAAGTTTTTCATTTTCAGTACTATTCTCCATCATTAACAAAATGAAGAAAAGATTTCGACACTGGTACTCACAAGTATTTCAAAGCAGATCTAACACACAGGCATAGCTCTCCCCTTATTTCAGACCTTGTCCAGACTGAAAAATCACTTTCTAAAACACAGGCTGGGTGCCAATCATATTCAAAAGTGAAATTTAGATGGTCACAAATTTAGTTCAAACAGTTGTTGCCTCTATAAAATCTGGTCCTCACCTGTACAATTTACTAAAGCTTAGTTCTTTACTCTGCAGTTAACTTCAATCTACATTTTATCATCTTAACATAGGTGACATAAAGCACCTCTGATGTGAATTTCAGAACATCCAGGTATGAAAATAAAAAAAGACTAATTGGAAAAATAAGAGGAAACTAACAATACTATGACTGTAGTTTATTTCTAGTATCCATGTTGTTTCTTCTTCAACTGTCAGGTCACAGCTGGAGTTTCATTATCACACGCTGCCCTATGATCTCTTATCCTTCTCCCTTTGAGGGAACAAGTATTTCTGATACCTTTTGGCATGCTGGGTGGCAACACTATCACAGGAGTTCTATTTTTATACTAAACCCAGGCATGTCCTGCCTCTAACTCAATAGCTCAGGCTGGGGAATGTCCATCTAGGATACAGGAAATCTAAAATATTAACTATATTCCTTTGCCTGAGAGAACTGACCCTTTACCAGCCATCACCCTAACTTCCGTGCTCCACAATATTCACAGGATGAATATGGGTGTGCAGTGCGCTCCTCCTCTCCTGCAGGAGCTGTTCTGCTTAGCTGTAATTAAGTATTTCCACTGTAATTGAATACTTTTACTGTATTTTCATATTAATGAAGTATTTCTTTAGCTCAGAGTGAGAGAAACTCAAGTAGCATTGCCAGAAGTAAGGCTCTCATCTGGGAATGGTGATACCCACTTACTGGTCCTCCTGCATGTGTGACTACATCGGTACAAAGGAAGGTGACATAACCACCAAACTAGAGGGGTTTTTACTCTACTGTGCAGTGAGCTCCTGACCTGTGCAAAGCAGGAACTAAGGCCTTAGGAGATACGAGAGCACCATGCCCCTTAACAGAAGGGCTAAACCATTAAACCAGCAGGTGCAGAAGCCAGATCCTCCACGGTACCAGAGAGGTTTCACTCTTTTCCACTTTCTGGGCATGTGGTATCACTGCTAGATTTAAACACAGGCAGATAAACACTTCCCATGACGCACACATATATAGCAGGAGAGAGGAAGGAGATAGCCCCTGAGAGAAGACCTTATCCAACACCGAAGTTCCCAGCCGCCCGGGAGCTAGGCTGTGTCGGATCTGAGCTGCCCGTCAGGACCAGCCAGACCTCAGAACCAAAACCAAACCACAGCCACCGCAGCCCGGAGGCCCATCACCAAGCCGGGGCCTGGCGAGGCGATGCCTGGCCGAACAGCCTCGCTTTGTCCTCACACACAAGTCCCCAGCTCCAACCGCCGTCCGCGCCGCTTCTCCCGCCGTCCGCCATCTCCCGAGGCGGCTAACAGGGAACGAGTGTCCACACCAGCCAAGCACGACCCTGGGTCCCCCTCGGAGCTCTGCCAGGGCAGCCCCTCGGAGCGCCGCCATCCTCCCCGCTCCGCCTCACTCACCCGCTGCGCCTTCTCCCAGACCTGGTTCAGCCTCACCACACGGAACTCCCCGGCTTCCCGCCGCTTGGCGCCGGCGGCCGCCAACCCCTCGTTGGCCTCCCGGGAGTACTTGCCGGCCTGGGAGGCAGCGGCCAGAAGCAGCGCGGCAGCGAGAACCGCCAGAGCCCGCGGCGCCGCCATGTCGCGCTGGGCGCGGAACTACAACTCCCGAGCAGCCCTGCGGCTTCCCCGCCTCAAAGCACCGGGCGGCGGCTGCTGGGATGCGGGTTCAGCGCCCTCGTCGGCGGTGAAAGGGGTGTTTGTATAGGGAAACAGGCTGAAAATCCAGTTTAGGTCGGAAATTTAGTGTCTAGTTTGGGGTCTGGGTAGCGTGGGAAGAATTAGGTTTGGGCTGTTTCTTTTCAACCGGCTTCGTGTCATTCGTTTGAGTGTTTGCTTCATAAAGTGTGGAAATATGCTGACGCTGGCACTTTTTGTGAGTGGTTTGGTTGGTTTTGGTTTTGTTTGTTTTTTTTTCTGCAGCCTGTAATAACTACAGCGAACACTTTCCCGTAGCCTGTGTGTCCCTCAGCTGTGTGAGGAAAAGAGGACGTGATGGGTTTAAACACCACCCCGTGATCAAGTGAAGTTGCCAGATATTAGCACAATGTTCAGGAGTATACAGGAAAATAAAAGGCAGCTCAGGAAGCAGGAAAGGCAAGAATGGGGACCAGCTCCCCAGTACTGCCTATGAGGGGAAGAAGGTCTTTGTTCTCTCTTGGAGGTGGTAGTGGGGGACACCACAGCCCAGAATAAGACATAGGTTTGGTGATGTGGGGGGAAAGAGGACTTTGAGAAATGTAATAAGTAGATTGGGTTGTTATTGAGAGGTGATCTATGGGAATGCTGCTGAGGTTGGTGGTGTGTGGTGAGTGCAGCTCTTGGGCAAGAGGCAACCTCCCTTTGCAGTGCTTCCTCCTCAAGTAGGAAGCCAAAAAGTGCAGTAGACAATGGGAAATCTTTGGAAGAAGTCAAGCTGCATTAAGAAAAAACCCATAATGCTGTGAAAATGACCAGTATTTAGTCCAGGGTTGGTATATATCTACCCCAGTTTTTAAAAAATCTGCTAAAATTGAATTCTGCTATGAAAGAAGTGCAGGAGAGGCAGAGAACATTCCCTCTGAGTGTTTCTGAAGGGAAGGCAGTAGAGAAAGCTGTTCCTTCTCCTGTCTTCTTATCATAAAATCACAGAATAGTTAGGGTTGGAAAGGAACTTAAGATCATCTAGTTCTAACCCCCCTGCCATGGGCAGGGACACCTCACACTAAACCATGCCACCCAAGGCTCTGTCCAGCCTGACCTTGAACACTGCCAGAGATGGAACATTCACAACTTCTTTGGGCAACCTATTCCAGTGCCTCACCACCCTTACAGTAAAGAACTTCCTTATATCTAACCTGAGAGTCCCGTGTTTAAGTTTTAACCCGTTACCCCTTCTCCTATCACTACAGTCCCTGATGAAGAGTCCCTTTCTGGCATCCTTGATGAGTCCTCTTCTGCATACTGCAATGCTAGTGTTGTATGGGATCTATGGCATAGTAGGGAATTTCTGTATTGAGTTTGTTTAGCAAGGTAGTGGTGAGGTTACTTTCCTGAGCCAAGCTGGAGGTAGACACAGAAGTTCACTTCATAAATTCACCTCAGATCTCATGTGTGACCTTGAGCAAATTCCAGCATAACTCTGTAGTACTGTCAGCACCAAGCCTTCATGCATTATAAATCAGTCCTAAGAAAACAAATAGATTGCCTAAACTATAATGAGATTTCTGAAAACAATGCCCAAATGAGGATTTTTACTGGACTCTCATTTTTGCCTTGTAAGCTCTATAAACAGCTCATTTTTTTCTCTTCCATATTTTCCTAAATCAGTGCAGAGATTCTCAATCATATGAACCTAGAAGCTGTTACCGTAAGACTAAATTGCAGAAGTGAACAAAAGTATTGCAGTGTACTTTGCATTGAAGAGCCATTAAAGTGAGCATTAAATTATACATTATAGTGAATTGATGATGGGAAAAGAAGGCCCATCAGCCTTACCCAAATCTTGCAGGGGTCTCCACATTGGTCTTAGGATTTAGATCTTATTTTGGTGTCATTGCAGGGTATATATATATATATATTATAGACTAATTTTGGAACAGACGGTTTCGTCTTGTCTGTCATTTGAAGTATTGATTGAGTTTTCAGGCTCTTTGCAAATAAATTCAACCTGCTATATAAATTCTTACAGTTCCCACTCTTGTATTAAATGTACTTGTGCATAGCTTTATCCATTTGTTTGCTTGTATTTTTGAGCTACACTGGGAAAAAAAGTTTAGAAATTGGTAAGGGATGATGCGCCATTAATTTGCTTACAGTGGCTTGCTGAATCACATTCTCCAGGGCTCTTTACATCTGTGTCAAGTGACCATTGCTTGGTATTGTTCTCTATGTCCTGGCCCAAGTGCTTCACTCCCAGATGTAAAAAGCCAAAATAACTGTATGGAGTTCTGTGTAAAGACTTTGGATTTATATTGGTGTTGATGAGGCCAAACTCATAACAGTGCACCTTAATGTAAATAAGAAACATGCAGTGGGAGGTAATGGGAAATCAACTCCATTGTGTCCATTTCCTGTGCATTTTTTGTCAAATGACAGGCTAGGAAAATGTTGGCTTTTCAGCCTGGAGAAAAGAAGCTTCATGGAGACCACATAGCAGCCTTCCAGTGTCTGAAGAGGGCCTACAAGGATGCTGGAGAGGGACTTTTCATTAGGGACTGTGCGATTGAAGAAGGGGTAATGGGTTCAAACTTAAACAAGGCAAATTGAGGTAAATATATTTACTGTGAGAGTAGTGAGGCACTGGAACAGGCTGCCCAAGGAAGCTGTGAATGCTCCATCCCTGGCGGTATTCAAGGCCAGGTTGGATGGGGCCTTGAGTGACATGGTGTAGTGGAAGATGTCTCTGCCCTTGGCAGGCGGATTGGAACTAGATGATCTTTAAAGTCCCTACCAACCCAAACCGTTCCATGATTCTATTAGATTCTCCCTTCATTTTTCCTTAGCACGGCTGAAAAGCAACTCAGCTGGATCCTGAAGACTGTGCCAAAAGTGATATAAACAATGGAAATTGTTTCAAAATAACCAGACTTCAAAAGAGCAGACTTTGGCCTCTTCAGGAACCTGCTTAGGAAGGTTCCATGGGATATAGCCCTAGAGGGCAGGGGGGCCCAAGACTCTTGGATGATATTCAAGGGTCAGCTGCTACAAGCTCAGGAGTGTTGCATCTCAACTAGAAGGAAGTGCAGCAGGAGGGCCAGGAGACCTCCTTGGATGGATAAGGAGCTGCTGAGGAAAATTCGAAGGAAAAAAGAGGATTATAAAATGTGGAAGCAAGAACAGGTGGCATGGGAAGAGTACAGGGATGTTGTCCGGGAAGCTAGGGACCAGGTTAGGAAAGCTAAGGCCCAGTCAGAATTAAACTTGGCTAGGGATATTAAAGATAACAGGAAGGGATTCTACAGGTACATAGCAAATAGAAAACAGACAAGGGAGAATGTAGGCCCCCTCAGGAAGCTCTCGGGAGAGCTGGCTACACAGGATTTGGACAAGGCTGAGGTTCTGAATGACTTCTTTGCCTCAGTCTTCACTGGCAAAGGCTCTGACCAAACCACCCAAGTCTTGAAAGGCAGATGCAGGGACTGTGAGAATGAAGACCTTGCACCCGCTGTAGGAGAGGAACTGGTTCGAGACCATCTTAAAAATCTGAACGTGCACAAGTCCATGGGTCCTGATGAGATCCATCCGCGGGTCCTGAAGGAGCTGGCGAATGGAGTTGTGAAGCCGCTGGCCATCATATTCGCGAAATCATGGCAGTCAGGTGAAGTTCCCGATGACTGGAAAAAGGGAAATATAACCCCCATTTTCAAGAAGGGGAAAATGGATGACCCGGGGAATTACAGAGCAGTCAGTCTCACCTCTGTGCCTGGCAAAATCTTGGAGCAGATTCTCCTGGAAGGCATGCTAAGGCACATGAAAATCAACACGGTGCTTGGTGACAGCCAGCATGGCTTCACTAAGGGGAAATCCTGCCTGACCAATTTGGTGGCCTTCTATGATGGGGCTACAGAACTGATGGAGAGGGGTAGAGCAGTTGATGTCATCTACCTGGACTTGTGTAAAGCGTTCGACACTGTCCCACATGACATCCTTGTCTCTAAATTGGAGAGACATCAATTTGATGGATGGACCACTCGGTGTGTAAAGAACTGGCTGGATGGCCACACACAAAGAGTTGTGGTCAATGGCTCAGTGTCCAGCTGGAGACCAGTAACGAGTGGTGTCCCTCAGGGAGCGGTGTTGGGACCAGTCTTGTTCAACATCTTTGTCAGTGACATGGACAGTGGGATTGAGTGCGCCCTCAGCAAGTTTGCCGATGACACCAAGCTGTGTGGTTCGGTTGATACCCTGGAGGGAAGGAATGCCATCCAGAGGGACCTTGACACGCTTGTGAGGTGGGCTGATGCCAGCCTCATGAAGTTTAACCATGCCAAGTGCAAGGTCCTACAGCTGGGTCTGAGCAATCCCAGGCCCAGCTACAGGTTGGGCAAAAAAGAGATTCAGAGCAGCCCTGCGGAGAAGGACTTGGGGGTGTTGGTTGATGAGAAAATGAACATGAGCCAGCAGTGTGCACTCGCAGCCATGAAAGCCACCCGTATCCTGGGCTACATCAAAAGGAGCGTGACCAGCAGGTCAAAGGAGGTGATCCTGCCCCTCTACTCTGCTCTTGTGAGACCTCACCTGGAATATTGTGTGAGTTCTGGTGTCCTCAACATAAAAAGGACATGGAACTGTTGGAACAAGTCCAGAGAAGGGCCACGAGGATGATCAGGGGCTGAAGCACCTCCTGTATGAAGACAGGCTGAGAAAGTTGAGGCTGTTCAGGCTTGAGAAGAGAAGGCTGCGTGGAGACCTCATAGCAGCCTTCCAGTATCTGAAGGGGTCTGTAGGAGTGCTGGAGAGGGACTCTTCCTTAGGGACCATAGTGATAGGACAAGGGGTAACGGGTTAAAGCTTAGATTGGAAAGTTTAGATTGGATATAAGGAGGAAATTGGATATATCCTGTTAGGGTGGTGAGGCACTGGAATGGGTTGCCCAGGGAGGCTGTGAATGCTCCATCCCTGCCAGTGTTCAAGGCCAGGTTGGACGAGGCCTTGGGTTATGCAGTTTAGTGTGAGGTGTCTCTTCCCATGGCAGGGGGGTTGTCACTTGATGATCTTAAGGTCCTTTCCAACCCTAACTATTCTATGATTCTATGTGTTAAGCTATTTTGGACTCTTTTGGTCCAAATTTTGGTTTGCATTGGTCCAGATGGCTGTAGCTGAGTTGAGGTACAGTCACTTTGTGTGTATTCATTGTCCTTATTAAAAAAGACGCATTAAGAAAACATAATGTGGAGCACATTCAGAAGTCTCTTTCTGCCCTTTGCTCACTTGAAAAACAAAATTAGAGACATTTGGGATGAGGATGACATTACAAAGCAGCAAAAAGGTCAGAGAAAATCTTAGAAGAAAGATGGAAGTCTAATGGCATTTATGGAACAGTGCATGGTAGAATACAGTGGTAGAACAAAAGACTGAAGCTAATGTTCAGAGCCTTGAATGTGATTTAAACTCCTTACCGAGCACAATGTCAGGAGGTCTTTTCCTTTAAGAGACAACGTAAGAGCTGGACCAGCTGCTTCTGGCTTCCGTTTTACCAGAATTAGTTCACCATTGAATTTGCACCTTCACGTACTATATATACATCTACAATTTTTTTTCAAGTGATAGAAGCTGGCCAACATTTCAAATACTGGGTTTCAGGGCTCTGGAAATGAGAGCGGTTGTGGCCTTCTCATCTCCATCTTCTAACCCAGAAATGTGGTCTGCAGGCTGAGCCTAGCAGCCTCTGACCGACCTTCATTGAAGTAATATAATAAATAGATCCTTTGAGTTTATCTAGATTAAATAAGTGTGTCCAGACTATAAAAGCAATAATAATTGGTTCTTGGCTGTAACATAGATGTGTATTTATAGTCGTATTTAGAAAGAAACACTACATAACTTAGGAGTTTTGAGAATGACAAGCGATTATGAATCCTAAATTTCTTGATTAAGATTAGCTGTCAGGCACCTATTATATCTGTGCTATAACTATGCTTTTCCTCATTTAAAGGAAGTTTAATCAAGATCCAGCACTATTTAGTGCTTTAGTAAATTAACCACATCATAGCAGATATCTTGAACAGGATAGTCAAAGACTATCTTGATCTTCTCTTTCCATTTTGAAGAAAAGCAGTAGTATAATGTCTTGCTAAAGAATGTAGCACCAAACAAGAAAAATAATCTCAGGTACTATATAATTCAGAAGTTCCCCCAGTGACAGATTTCTGTACAGTTCTGCTCTTGTGTATGAATTCTAGCATTTTCTACTTCTGGATTTTGGGGAGGGCTTTTTAGCAGTCGTCCTTATATCTATAACAACCTCACAACTATGTGGTTATTGAATATTACAGAATAAAAATAGAAGAATATATAAACATGTCTCCAAATAGTCAAGGTTTGCCAGTATCTTCTGTGATAGCACAGTACATTTGCATATCAACATCAGCCCTGGTACGCTGCCTATTTTTGACAGCACGTAGATAATACTGTTTTGGTGGTAACCACTCTAGATTTCACCCTCCTGAACATCTTGACTTTTTGCCTTGGTTTGGTGTTGTCAATAATAGAATTTAGTCAAGGTTGATCTAAGTTAACTGGTGGTTCTCTATCCATATGTTAAAATCAGCTGTCTTGTTCTGCAAGAGAGCACACATGCCCCCTAAATGCAAGATTCAGTCCCAAGGAAGTATAAGAAATGTGGCAGGAAAGCAAAACTGGCATGAAAGAGTCTCTATCCTGTTTTAATGGTGGCGGAAAACCAAAACTTCTTGTGGTACATATTACAGCAGTTAGCTACAGCATGATCTTGTGAAGAGCCACAAAGGTACCTTACCTTTGTGTATAATCCTACTAGCTCTACTTGCACCTGCATGATTTCATTTATATTTTGGATTAGGTCTTAATAGTTTAAAATCTTTTTGGCCCTATACAGGACCATGCTGGTAAAACACTTTTGGGTTAATGTCAGGAATTGATAGCACAGAAACCTTCCAAATCCAGATGGCTTTGGAGGTGCCTGATGGTCTTGCTTGGTTCGTGACACAAAGCATTCTCTGTGTCTAGTGTCTGCCTCTCAGTATGGTTTTGCAAACATAGAGGGATCCTATTTCTTCATTTACCTTCTTTTGATAGCAGAAGAGACAGCATCACTCTGCATCTTGTACATTCATTTTCACAGAGATATATAGTTCCTTTTACTCTAATCTCTAATTCACTTTAATTTAAAGAGTATTTTTTTCAGGTGTGCTTTAGGTTTTCCAGGACAGCACAGTCAGAGATTTGTATCAGTCAGAGATGTCTATGAGATCTCTCATCCAGGACACAATTCTGTTTCTCAAGGAATTAAGCCTATTCCATCACCGTGTGCTGTTTCGTAAATCTCAGACCAAGGTCAGAATCAGCTTTTAAACATCAGTTTTGACTACTTCAGTAGGGCAACAGGACCTGGATTCCTCTGATATTCCCTTAAGGAGTCTGTGAGAGCTCACTGTGATGGAACGTCACAGTTGTCTTAAAAGCACTTTATGCATGTATGCATTCCTCAAGCTGCCCAGTGACTTACAGCTGTACCCGAGACATCATTGTTAACCTTCCTGCTCTGTGCAAACTCCATTTTCAGCTCAGAGAAGCAGTCTTTCTCACAGCATCTGTCTCCAGGATTCTCTGCATGAGTGACTTTAAGTTCCCTGTCCAAGGAAGCCTAGATAATGTGTCCTTTTCCAGCATCAGAAGTTTTAGGTTCTGTTTTCAATCATAGGAAAAATACTCTGTGTTGGTTTTGTGGTTTTTTGTTTTGTTTTGGTTTGGGATTTTTTTTGTAATAATTTTGACCATTTAAATTACATTAAGCTGTGTAACTGTTTTTTTTTCCTGAATAGCTTCTTTATATTCCTTGGATATAATTCTGTGCATTCAAGCAGAAAGTTGAACAATGCCAAAGTGAAGAACATGAATTGCATAATGTGCTGAAAAGATGAACTGGCAAGATGTTTGTTACTACATTAACTTCTCTTTAATAGGAATTACTGGAATGTCAAAGAGAACTAACCAGACTGAAATTTATTTTTAAATATGTATTTTCATAAAGTGGAACCTTTTTTCTGTGCACTTAATTTTACTGAAAGAAAAAAAACAAGTGTTGGTACAATATTATTTTAAAACATCTCTATAACATAACGAACAGCTTTCTGTTGCCATTGTCTTACTGAAATTACTTACTTAGCTAAACTGTTTAGGGCTGATGCTAAAGAGAAGAGCATGAAAACCAGCTCATGAATTCTGTCCTTCTAGAAATTATCTTTGTGGCTGATTAAAGGGGACCTTGACTTGTTTGGGGAAGAAACAAAATACTCACTGGCGTTCTTAGCTGTCTAGTCAGTGCTAATAGAATTTGGGCTTTAAATTATTAGTATAAAACATACAATTAAAGTAAAATAAGCAATCAAGTTGCTAACAGGTATCTTACCTGCCAGTGAGATGCAGCTCTTCTCTGAGATGAAGCCCATCCATGCAACTCATGATTGGGTATAGTTCAATAAAAAATGCAGGAGCAGTTTAATGAAATGCCAAGTGCCATGTCCTTGAATACAATATATCAGTACTGATTTTTTTTCTTTCATAAAACTATTACAAATAATTAATTGTATCTGTGTTCCTCCTGAATGATCTTTTCTGGCATTCATCAATGCAGTGTGGAAACAAACCTGACAGATACTCTCCTTTACATCAGTTTTCTGTCAGAGTATGTCCCTTTTTTGTCAGGGATTCAGTTAAGAACTCCTTAAAAGTATTGTTGCAATGTAACTTGATCCCTATTTCTCCCACAAAAATATAGTACAGCAATCCTGATTGCTTCTAGGCTGCAGATTTTCACTGTGAGATGTGACAACAGGAGGTCTTCTGTATTGAGCAAGAGTGTAAGTGTGTTCATATTTGGCTGTGCAGCCACCTTGAATCATTTCTGCCTCTTGCTTCTCTGCCTCTTGTACTTCTTAATCCTCTTCCCATCCAGCTTTGTCTGTGTCATTCGTTTACATACTTTCATGATCTTCCTTCGTTTTTAGTGTTCACATCACAACTTTCTAAGTGTCCCTGCATAATACATGCTTACACCCCTTTTCCTTCCATTCCTCCTTCATTGTGTATATAACTTTCAAACTACCAAGCAATAGCTATACCTTTCAAAATTTATTGGAACTTCTGCCACTCTTTTCCTAGATGTGCAAAAAGAGTTGTGTGTCACAGTTCTGCGTTATTCCAGTGTGGCACAGTATGTCTGTTGATACATAGAGAAAACATTTTATTTTCTGGTTTATTTGTTGTCAGAATTCTTGAAAAGAAGCAGCAATGTTTTTCAAGTTACTGTTATATGGGAGATTGAATGTTTGGTGAGCATCCCTCTGAGATGGCTTGGTGTTTTAGAGTATTACAAGCTCAGGCATGAACACTTGAGAATATAAAAGGAGTAGTTCTCATTCTCAGTGCTGTTCCTGAAATTTCAGCTGTTTAGGCAGAAAAACGGTCATAGGAGTTGTGGGAAACTGAGCCAAATAAACAGATGGGATCTTCTAGTCCAGCTGGAAGAGCTACTCTTCTGTGCCGGGTTCAAATAGAGGATTTCAGAGCTAGAAAAAATCTACAGAGAAATTCCTCAAGACAGGAGAGTCTTTAGTTGAGTTAGGAATACACCAGCCAAACAGTGATTTCAGGGTATTTTGTTATCCTTATTGTCTATGAGGCATTCAAATATAAAAAATTAAGGAGCAGTGGCTGAATATCTGCTCAGGGGGAATGAACTCAAAAGGGCAGTAATTGTTGTAGGAGATAAGGCCACACCAGTCTCAAGAACGAAAGCAATTCTCATAATTTTCTTAGCTTTCAGATATATGACAGCCTGAAAAATAACTTGTTAGTCAGAAGACTTGCTTCTTGCCAGATATACACACGATCCAAGTAGAGACGTGCTGTGAAGGACAGTTACACAACAGAGGAAGAAGTACTGAGCTTATAAGATAAATGGTGAGTGTGAGCTATGGGTGGGACGATGAAGTTACTTTCTTTGCTGTAGTCTGGGTCAAAAAGTGAGAACACATCTGCACTAGATGTGGCATCCTGCTGTCGTACCTGGTTGTTTCAGTTGGATTCTGTTGCTTCTGCAAGGTTGACTACCAACAAGAAAAGAAATCAGTGTAATTTTCAAGAAAATTGTTTTCTGGGGAATAGTGGTTAAATGAAAATATTGGTTCTGTATAATGTTAAATTTAATATAACTAATATTGAGCATTAGAGATGACAAACCTACCAGCCAAAAATATAAATAAATGGAATTCTAAATGCAAGCCACTTAATCATTTCTATTTGTTTTTCCTATATAGCATCCAAAAAACCCCAAACAACCTTGATCACAAAAGATGTAAAAATGAAGTGAACAATCAAAAATCTGCTGCACTCGGGAGTGAGTATCAAGATCCATATGTGCCTGTTTGCTGACACAGGATTAGGAAGAAGGTACACAAGAGGAAATGGAGGATGTCTTCAGGGTTCCCAGAAGAAATCCAAATTATGTATGTATGTATCTATCTACCTACCTACCTATCTTCACTTGTGCTAAAGGACATGTTGTGGAAAGATGTAGCCAGTGAACATTCTTGCTGAAGACAGCAATGGAGCTTGAGCTGGAAAAAGGCTGTTGTTTTTATACTTCCATTTAAAAAACACTGGTGATCTGTTCAATTAAATCAAATTATAGCAAGCCTAATTTCTTTAGTGTTGTCCTAACTGGCAGGTATCTATAATAATTTATTACACACAATTAATGAACAAGTGAGCAGTATTTTTTATCATCTTGTTGATAAAACCTTTCAAATATTCTTCTTCCATCAAGGCTGCAGTTCTGTATGCTTGGTCTGGACAAAATGTTCTTGGAAGGGAAGCTTAGGAAAAATACTTTTCAAATATTTTCAGGAGAATGAGAATTACGCCTTATCCTGACTGCCCTCTATATGTACCGAGGGTATGTAGCCCTCACTTTGCATCACGTTCTATAGACTCTTCTGGAACCTAGTGCTATGCAAGTGCTGTTTCTCCTGAGATGATCATTAAAGTTCATTGATCAGAAGGAAATATTGTGCAGCAAGGAAAATTTGCTGTCAATACTTATCTGAAAGTAAAGTTGATTTTATTTTAATCAGAAAATAAACATATTATGGAGTGTGCATTTAATGCATCCCAGTCTGTTGAAAAAATATGGCCATGGCTGAGGAAGTTAGCTGTGGCCCAGGATTCTTATTCATCCTCTGTTTTGGGCTGTATGTTTTCCAGAAACAACTTAGAATGCTTTTGAGTAGATGGATTCCTTAATGTTCTCTGTCTGTATGGATTATTTGCAAGTGATTTCTCCAGCTTGAATGGATAATATAGAAATCCTGGTGTAGGAAATACTGAAATTCATATTAATTGAAGTCAGACTTGATTGAACCTACATGTTATCTTGGATTTGATTCAGACCTGTTAAAGTTCACAGGGGACTTTCTCACAATTGTTGCACCCTAAAAATGATATAAATCAGCTCTAGAAATATTAGGGTTATTGGTCACATGGGATTATTTCTGTTCCATGCCTCAGAAGAGCCATGAGGGTTGGACATGCATAGTCCTGGTTAAAAGTTTAAAATTCATCACCATAATAACCTTTAATACTCTGTTTAAATTTGTGGCAGCTCTGGAAGTGTCTATCAGAAAAAGACTGTCTGTGGGAAGGAAGAGGTAAGTCATTCTCGCACTGCATAGCTGGCAATCATAAAAGAATGATAGAGATGCTTACCCCTATTTCTCCAGCCTTGACAGCTGGACAGAAAAGCTGAGTCATATTAACTGACTGTTGGCAGGTAGAATAGATTGGGCCAAGCACATTCCGTGGAATATGTCAAGTGCAATTAATCTTCACAGAAACTGTAACCAGATTTTCAACTGCACTTTTTGACATAATGGTGAAGAATTTAGACTGCTTTAAGCTACATTCATCCTGTCATTTATATATATAAATTCTTTATTGCAACAGTTTTCTCTCAGGTGTGTCTCTGATCCAATATTTAAGACCTTTTTTATTATCTCCAAGTTTTTTATCCATGAAAAAGTTGTAATTGTATTGGTTAAGCCATACTGTTTGGTTAAGTTATGGGGATGTCAGAGAGTACTTTATATATTCAGGGGTGGGACATTCTCTTCTGCTTTGAACATCAATTCTGTGTGGTGGGGACTTTAGGTTTTGCCATGGAGGGCTTCATGTCAGTCACTGACCTACGCCGCAGACTCTTTATGATTTTGTGTGTCTCTTCAGACTTGCATTGTGTCTGACTAAATGACTTGATCCAAAAGACTTTCAATTCAAAGAGAATCTGTTTACTTACACGGATTTTGTTTAAGGTCTGAAAGGATCAGGCCTGCTCCCAGTGAAGGGATAGAAAGTTGTCTTTTGGTCTGCAAGCAGACAGGATATGGTTCTACTTTTGGATTAATAAAAAAAAATGTAAATCTAAAGTAGAAGAGGACTGATTAATCGAAAATGTACAGAAAGAAATTCTGTCACTGTTAAATATGACCACTGAAGATGAGTGTAGATAATCATTATTTTTGCTGTAACATCATCAGGAGAAATTTAAGGAACCACAGGGACTGGCATCACATCTACTGCTTACTCTTTCTGTTCATCTACTATGCCATAAACCCAGATTTGGATATAGGTTTTGGAGGGGTTCCTTTCCAAAAGATTGCCTAGAATATCTGAGGTTGTGCACGAGAAACAAATAAAAGGGAACCAACCCTCCTAAGAGCTGTTTCTTCAGAATAGTCTTTGGCCACAGGAGGGCAATACTGTTCTATAATAAATTTGACATGCTTTATTTGCTGAAAATCTGGTTTGCAAACACACCGGAGGGGGGAACAGGGTTGATCATGTTTAACAGTCATCAAAGTCCTATTGATTAGAAAGTGGATTTACGCCTCTAGCTATGTTTGCAGGTGTTGACCAATGAGTCCTCCAACACTGCTGTGAATATCATTCTGCTTTTCAGAAAAGCAAATTGCAGCACAGAAACTGAGAGCTGTGATGAGATTGTCCTGCCATTTCAAACTGAAGTAAGGAGAGCTTAAACTGAAAATGGTGAGAGTCTGAGAGTGTGTGACTCACTAATACTGGTTGGAGTATCTAGCTGGGAATGGTGGGTCTTATTTTTCTTTTCTTCCTTAAGAAAGTTTCTGTATATTTCCTCTGTGGCCAAGGGCATGTTCTTCTTTACAAGGACCCAGACATAGGAGCAGGACTCTTAACACAATAGTTTATTGATTCATGCTCACATTCTTAGCTGGTCAGATAAATCTTTCCTGTAGGGCCCTGCAGGGTGCTTAGAAGATTCTCCAGAGAAGTATTTGGGTTTTGAATCCCCAAAGCAGATGAGACTGTTGAGTGTGCTTTCTGTGGCTCTTAGGTGAATAAGAGATACCACTGTTGGGTCTTACGAAAAAAAGATAGAAGCTTCACTGTGTTCTCTGTAAAGATTAACCTGCTAGGAGTACTTTGAGACTAGTGGATTTAACCTTTAAAGGGAGAGGAATACTTGGTTTACACAGACTATGAGTTTAGGTGTGAGAGTGGTGATGGGCACCTTTGCAAATGTGAGTATGTTTGAGTACTTTACACATCACTTAGCACACTTCAAGTATATATGCATTAATATGTAAGTAATTTGTGGAGTCTGGGTATCTCCTGAATTTGGAGACAGGTGAATTCCCCCCAAAAATAGAAAATGAAGCTTTCTAAGGGCCAGCTTTCTCATCTGTGTTATTAGTATGCCAGGAATGGTCTCCAAGAAAAATTGAAATAATGTTTAAAGTTAGAAAGGCATATTTGTGAAGGGTAGATTGCTAACTTCCAACTAACCTTTGAGGTAAACTGGAAATGAAAATGTTTCAGAGAATGAATACTACTGAGCTGCTGCCCTTTTAGCTTCTATTTCCAAGTAAAGGCTCAAAGAGGTCCCCTTCTGAAAGACAATTCTGAGTGGTGTTTTCAGTCTGTAGATCAGACACTATTTCTGATGGGTCTGCAACTGCTTGATATGGGCCTGCAAATGCTGAGACCCTTGTCTTTACCTTTTCTTTAGAAGTTGCTATACTTCTACTGAATGTATTTAGAGAAAGCAAGAGCATTCGTGTCAGGTATGTCTTAAATGTCAGTTCATTTATTTTATGCTTTACTTTTTAAAGTGTGTTTTCAGCTTCATAATCTGGAAGATAGTCTTTTGTTTTGCAAGAATAAGTTTTATTGCTTTTATTTTTAAACTTGTCTAAGGGGAACTGAGACAAATCTGACCGTTTCAAGGTTCTTGCATTGGCAAGGAGGTAAGGAAGCCAAGGAAAGTAGCAAGTCCTTTGCAGTGCTTGTAGACCAAACTTGCAATTATCACCTTCCAAACTACTGGAGTAATTCTGGGAGCTTGTATCTTCAAGTACTCAGAGAAGAAGAGGAATTCTGTGTTGTAATCTGCAGCCAATGCCTCTGACAAAGGGCAGGCAGTGATGATACAAACTATGATGTGATGAAGTTTTCTCAGCTGAGTAAAGGATTTTTTCTGGGGGGGAGAGGGAAATGTAAATTTTGCAATTAGATGCTTAGACTCTATTTAACTTTACACATCATTTAATTTGTATGTGTAGATAAAACATATGGAGCCGGTCACCCAAGCCTGGTGCACTTTTGTATGTACTTAGGTAAATTTCTTTCTCACTTTACACCATAGTCACTTTTTCTAACCAAAGCGCTACATTCCGAATTGCATACTTGGCTTTGATGTCTTATCCTTAAAATATTGAAGAAGAATTAGATTAATACTTCTTTGAGTCTTTGAGTGTCAGTTTTCTAACACTTAAATATGTGAAAATGGTGGTACTTCCTGAGATACTTTCCTACACTCTGCCACACGTGGTGTATTCCTACATATATTTTCTGTCACAATAAGTCACTCAGCAGAAGTCATGAGTACTCAAACGTCAACAGATGTAAGACAAATGGCCCTTATAATGAAATCTGTTAATAGCCTCATGCTATATAAATCTGTACAATAGCCTTATGAAGAAGTCAAGATAAACTTACTTTGTGATCTTTTGGACAAATCAGCCAAACCAATAAAATACAGGAAATAGTGCCCTGCATGGGGGTGAAGAAGGTGGCCAAGCATTGGTAGAAATTTTCTGCTGATGTTTATAATTTTCCTCTGCATTTTAAGTAATTCACAGTGATTATTACTTCAGATGCTTATTTCTGTCCCACTTCTGAATGTTAGTAGGCAAGGCCAACTTTTTTCATTCGTTTTAGAATTATTGAATCAGATAATATGTTTGGGTTGGAAATGACTGTCCTGGGTTCAGCAGTAGCAGTCATTTTTCCCCTTCTTGGTAGCTGGTGTAGTGCAGTGTTTTGACTTTCGGCTCAGGGACAGAGCTGATAGCGATGTTTTGTTTTGGCCAAGGACTTTGTGAGCCTCATGCTCTGCCAGGGAGGAGGGGAAGCCAGGGGGAAGCAGAGACAGGACACCTGACCCAAACTGACCTACTACAGCACGTCATGCCCAGGAAACTGGGAGTTAGCTGGAAGGGCTGGGAGACTGCAGGGTTGGAGGAGGTATCGGTCAGAGCTTGGTCGGGCTGGGGGGGCGAGTTATCGGTCGGCTGGTGGTGAGATGATGTATTCTCTTCCCTTGTTATTTCCTTTATCATTATTATCACTGGTGGTAGCAGTAGTGATTTGTGTTATACCTTAGTTACTAACTGTCCCTCGAGAGCAGGGGGAGGGCAAGAAAAGGGGGGCAGTGAGTGAACAAGTTACCTGACTGGGTTTAAACCACGACAATGACCTTTAAAGGTCATTCAGTTCCAACCTGCCTGCCGTGGTCAGAGATATCTCCCACTAGAACAGGTTTCCAAAGAACCTGTCCAACCTAGACTTGAACTCTGCCGGGGTTGGAGCATTTATTCTTTTTCTTTAATATAATCAGCCTCTTTTTCTGGTTAATCATGGAAATATTTGCAGTTTCTTTATTCACTGGCTTAGAGGCTAGAACAGACTATCGGGGTTGGCTCATCTGACCTCTTGTACAAGCCAGATCAGAGAACCCAACTCCGTAATCCCAGCATAAATTCTTCTTGAGACAGGAAACATAGCTTTTAGAAAGACACTACATTTTGTTTCAAGACTTCCAGTGACAAACTCACTATCTTATCTGGTAAGTCTAATTGCCTTCACTTAAAAATTGCATCTTCTGTCTAGCCTGTATGTAATTAACATCAACTGGCTGGGTATGTCTCCATAGTTGCTCATGAAAGAGTATCTTAGAACAGCAGCAAAGAAAAACTTTCTTGCTTCTCTTGTACCTGATGTCTTTAGCAGTCTTCTGGAACTATTCACAGATATTTTTGGTTTAAGCTTGGAAAAAACACACACAGGTATTTGGGACAGAAGAATTAGCATTCACAAAGGCTAACTTTAGCCAAAAGAGTCCAAGTATCCCTCTGTCAGCAATGGAAAGAGAAAATGGTACTTGCAAACACCGAAGCTGGAATATTTAAAGTTAGTCTTCTGATTACCCTGGGCCCTGAAGGTCCCTCTATAAATATCCTTTAGGGTCCACATTGTACACTAATTTTCTGAGAGGTTTCATTATGTTCCCTTTTTCTTTAGTGTCCCTTTGGCTACGTGTGGGGGACTGAAGGAAATATACTTCAAGAAAGAAAGGCTTGACTTTTCTTGAAGAATCTGTCAATAAACACAAAAACATTTAAACCTGAATTAAGGGTAGTTTTCTTGCCTCTGCTAGATGAACTACTAGCTGGAGAGTGTTATGTGATTGTTTACTCTTGTAGGTGAAAGAATAGTTGATTTGCTGTAGGTCAGTGACCTTTAAAGTCTCCAATAATAAAATTACACAAACTAAAATCACCTCTGACCTCAGTCCGGAGAGATGGTGTGTATTCTTTGTTAAGGCTATTGTTCTTAGTGAATATTTTTATCCTGTTTTCAGAGTTTTATTGTCATGTTTGGTTTTGTTTTATGCTTTCATCTCCTTTGGTGATGGAAAAGCACATTGTGTGTGGGACTGTTACTGAGCTCTAAAAACGCGATAGCACTTTGTCACTTTTCACATACACAAGCCACAATGACATTCAATCTGGAGAAAAGTATTGTTTATGAACATTGAGGCATATGAATTACAGATTTTTATTGATACAAAGAAGAGTGTGCTTTAGTGAATCAGCTGTTCAACACAGTGCATTGACTTAAGAGACAAGACTGAATTTCAACAACATGTCTGGCAAGTACTAGAGGGGCATGATTTTCTTTTTCTCTTAGCCTCTCCATAACTGCTGATATTTTTCTCTTGCCTACAGTTGTCACTTTAAAGGATGAGCCTTTTGTGATTGGAGCCCTCATGTTACGCAATTTGGTCAGGCCCACTCTTTATTTGTGGCTTCTAGGTCCTTCTACAAAAAAAATTCTAGCAGGAAGCTCCAAGACTGTAGAGGTGCTCAACTCTATACTTTTTTGCAATTGATTTTTTTTTAAGGTGTTATTATCAAAAGATGTAGCTAATGGATCCAACACCGTGTCAAAGCTACTCCTTGGTGGTATGCTGCAATAAGGAGTGCTTATTTCTATGTTAGTTGTTCCAGGGAAAAAAAAAAAAAAGAAAAAAGCTGCTTAAGTTTTTAATCCTATTACACAGTATTCCAAAAGGTCAAGTTGGTGTTCTTTTTAAATACAATTTAATTGAAAATGGACAGTAGCCTGGATCTTCTTCAGGCGTAATGAAGCAGGCTATTGATATGCACCATGTGTCCCTGATTAAAATCAGAAGGCTAGGAATGTTCAGCCAATTAGGCAATTTGTGAGACAGTGGCCCAATTAGTTTGGGACCATGGAGAAGCAGGTACACAGAAATATATTTTGTGTGTTCCCTGTAAACAAAAATAAGAAACTACAAGGTGCTGAATGATGTCCAGGCTGATAAAGCCAATTAATTGGCTGAAGTCTCTTGTTGCTTTTTGTTTGTCCCCCTAGAAAGATTTAGCTACAGTAGAAATCTACAGTGTATTTAAATAAATAAATACAGAACATTGTCTTCGTGAAGCAAAAGAACTAGATGAAAGATGAAGACCCAAAGACAGTGGTGTAGTTCAAAATTATCTGTAAAATTCACTTACTTACAGCTGTGCTGGTACAGACAAGAAATTCCTATTGTTGCTCTCTGTTTTCTGGCTGTGCTGCATGTGGTGTGCTGCAGACAAGGAGTAGCATTTACTCATTTTAGCTTACTGAAAATAAGCAAAAAGGGGCAAAGTTAGGTCTTCACAAGAACATAATATAAATACATATTTCACGATTAAACATGCTGCAGGATCTCCAAGAACATGAAGGTGTTCTCTGGAGACAAACAGAAAGTTCAGAAATGTGAGGGTTGTGTGTCAAGGGAAAACACAAAGTCCTCCAAGCACAAGCAGTTTAGGAAGGTGTCTGTGTCATATCCAGTGATCATGTTTGGCTCTACTGACACCTGAATTATTGCTTTGAGGTATTAATGCAAAGACTAAACCCCAAGAGTATAGTTTAACATCTGGAAAAATCTTTGAATTTTTTATTGTGAGTGTAGTAGTTTCTGAACACCTCATTTTGCAAGCCTGTCTAAGAGTAGGTGTCATCACCTAATACTGTGGTTGAAAGAATGACATTTAGAGATGGAAAGATGTGGTTTTCATGACAAATGGGCTTTTGGGTCATCTTAAGCAGGAACACACTTGCTGTGGAAGATGTGTACAGCCACAGACAAATAAGTCCGTACATTTCAAGTTCCAGTTTTGTCTTTCTGGCTTGTCAGAAATTACAGCTTGTACAGACCCTTATGAAGTACAAAGACACACCTGGTGAAGTAGTAGTATTTTGCAAGAATATGCCTGATCATGAATCTACCCAAAGAAAGAAAACCTCTCAATAGGTTTGAAACATCAAAATTAGCTGTTTTAATAAATGTATTTCATTAGTGAAGAAGGAAATGTTTAATTAGCTCTAGTCTAGGAGACACACATGGGATGTTCATCAGATTTCTGGATTTGTTAAAGCTACAGTTGTTTCTAAACCAAAGAAAATATGGAGACTGGCAAGTAAAGATGGGGTAGCTAGCAATTCACTGTCAACAATGAAAAAGAAACACCACACTGCAGAGGCTTTAACTGAAAATTAAACCCTCACATAATTTGCTTAGCTGGTTTACAAAACGTGCTTCACAGCTCCTGAGTGTTTGAAAAACAGGTTGATTTAATCATGGACTCAGGGGCTTTACTCACAAGAGCAGGGGAATTAAAGTTCAAGCTACTTTGTTGTTAATCCGAAGGTGACTGGTATTGAGGTGCCTAAGAGATAGTACTCAGTTACTGAAGGCGATGAAGGCTTTTTGGCAGCCTGGTGCCTATTCATTGTATTTGTGCTGAACAAAGAAGCAACTGGAACACAAAACTAACAACCATGAATCCTTCAGGGAATGTATCAAGTCAGAATTAAAGAGTTTATTTATTTTGCCAGCCAAAATTTTGGTAGAAAGTGTGA